AAAGAATTCTTCTCCTTGAAATGAAAAATGGAAAAACATTTTAGATTCTCCTGTTTATAAAAATGACAAACTATGATATACTGTAAATATGCATCATACATATGCATTCACCTTAGAAAAGTATCCCACTAAATGGCAGCCAGTGTTGTCGGCCTCGGTCATGACGTAAAAGAGAAACGGCTCCACATCGTAATACAGCGTTTTGTGGTCCAGGAAAAGTTTGGCAAGTAAACACAGGTTCTGGCAGTAGATCTGGGAATAAATGATTTCATTATAGTCACTTATTTGACTGTAAGTGTCATAGTGATAGTTGTTTTACAAGACGTATACAATACAACACAAAGGTAACAGGCATTACTATGTCTGAGTTTTCCTACCTTGTTCTTTTTACCATCAACTTCAAACACAGATATTGCTCCCTTTCTGTAAACTTCATCTCCTGGAGGATGCTTCCACACACACTTTGCCTGAGAAAACACAATAAAAAAACACATCAGTATTATTCGTATAACTGTGACCAGATATGATAAATATATAAACATGAAGGGTAGAATGCAGCATCTATAGGCATGATATGTATACAGGATATGATATGTATCTTTAAATCAACTGTTTTTGGCTTTAATAATTATAAACAATCGTACAGCTGGTCAGACATCCGACTGTTCTCACGTCACAACAATGAGAATGTTCTCACCATGTGCCGCCTGAGGATGGTCTGGCTCTTCATGTACTTGAGGCAGAACTCGCAGACGTAGAGGCGACCCAGACGTGCGTACTCCTCAGGATAGGGTGAGTGGTACCAGGTGTCCAGCTCATAGCGGCCAAACAGGATGGTTTTGATCATGTTGCTGCCCTCTGTGATCTGACCCTGGATACGCAGCTTCTCCTGTCCGACGGTAGACGAGAAGGAAAACAGTGTAATTACTGATCTTAGAGTCAACTCTGCGTGTGCATTTAGATTTTTTTCCCTCGATGACAGATTTTTTCTGTTTCAAATTTACAAAGCAAAAAATTATATTTCTTATACATTAGTTGATATTAATTACACATTTTATTGCAGGAGCAATACTGATAAAAAACTGTCCATTACCAGGTCTTCAGATGCACGTGCCTGAGCTTTTCTGAAAAGTTCCAGATCATATTCACTGGTGATGTTCTCCAGCAGAGGTTCTCTGGTGTTGCCGTGTGTCTGCCGATGCTCCTGTGGGTCAGGAGGTGGTATAGAGGTGAGAGAACATACCAGCAACAGTATGTGATGCAAAACAGATAATAGTAAATTGTATAGTTGAAGCAAATGTACAACTGCAGTGAATGCCAGTGATGTACCATGTGCTTTTCTTTCTGCTCCTTCTGCAGCGCAGAGTTTCGCCCCTTCCTGATCTCGGCCACCTGCTCTTTGTATTTGCTCTGTTTCGATGTTGGTGTCTGAAAAGCAAGAGAGAAATGTGAGCTGGCCAATGACATCTAACACTGGGTGGATGAGAAAAGCTGTAGTGTACCAGGCCCTGATCAGACAGTGTGTGTTTTGTAGATATTAAAACGCAGGGAACACTGTGTTGCCTTTATTGTTGAAGCCTTCACTGCGGTGCAGGGTTGCTTTTTTTACTGTTGCTAGGCAACCACTGAATCTGTGATTTTATTGTGCAGTAAACTCACAGATCTGTACATTTTTAAATATACACATTGCAGGTTGAGGACATTTGCTCTGGATCTGACGGTGAGAGACACAGACAAAGGGAGAAAAAAGAAAAAATCCTGTTGGAGTGCTAATTTGCCTCCCAGCCTGTTATCTGTTCAAATCATGGTAACTGCAGTTGGTCAGGTCATATTGCTCCAAGTACGTACAACAGCCACCACTAGTCTCTCCTGCACGATTGATGTTTCCAAGGGAAAACCTGCCTCTCAATTCATTGGATTGGACAATGAGGGATAACACATGTATTAGCACATGTGTTTTTCTGCTCCATGTTGAACTTGTTTCATCCTGAGGGATTCAGAGCCTTCCTGCAAAAACATCAGGCGTTCCAAGCCCCTAAAATGCATAAGCATTACACAGAATGCTAATTGCCTGGTAAAGAAGCATCTCACTGAAACACTGCAGACTGTCGGATCAGGGCTTATGTAAAATATGTAAGATTCCTGATAAAAGTAAACATAACTGATGTCACGCATATCTTTAAAAAAAGGAACTACCTGGTGACGAGTTGCATGGCGCGAGTGGTTTTCTTCCTGCGCTTTCACCTCCTCTTCTTGTTTCTCACGACTGACAGCTTTCACCTGAAATGACGAGGCAAGTGGGATTAGTTTGCGTAAAAAAAGGGAAAACTTATCTGCTGCCAGTTTCCTTACTTCTCCTTGAAAAGGGAAACGCTGCAAATGGCATAGTGTAAGATAGATGTATTAATATCACGTATCATATACTAACGTGATTCTATTGTGAAAGGATAACTGAAAGACAAATAACGTATTTCAAGATAATCACCTTGCATTCATCAGCAGAAAGATTGTGGTAAAGAGGACAACCTGATACAGCAAAATGGCGTTCATGTTTCCCTGTGAGGTGACCTGAGCAAACAGAAAAAAGGATGTTATAATATTGTGATAAAGGGGGATCTCCCAGAATACAATTCAAAATCAATACAATTTGTATAATGGCAGAAATTTTACCAAGTGAGTTACACCCCGGCGTAGGGCATTTCATGTTAAAGTTGTAGGTCTCGTGACAGCGGCGGCGCTTGGGTCGATGGGAGAGGTCTTTATCGGAGTCCCTGTTGGCTTGGTCTTTGGCCTGGCTCTCGTCGTGAGATGCATTGGGGCTGGAGATGTCCAGCTCAGATTCAGAGGACGGGGCATTTCCTGTGGGCGTCAATGGCGGAGATTCGTCATGGTCCGCAGCTCGTTTCAAGTCTGGAGCATCTGAAGCAATGGGAGTCAAACAATCACCACGTTTAAGAAACAGCTAAGATGAAGGAAGAAGATTGTGATTTATATTACATGAACAAGATATGTTAGCCCACCCTGAGAGCTTTGGCTAAGACGTGTGGAGGCTCTGGTGAGACGCTGTCTCTTGGGCATGTTTCCATCACTTTCTGAACTGTTGGTCTGCTCTCTTTCAGCAGAGGAGTCAGAGTCTTCAGTTCCATCTGAACCACTCCCAGGCATGTGTCTCTGTCAGAGGGGGGATATGAAATGAGAGTCATCCTACACTGATTCCTAATAATCAATGAGCAACAACATTAAAGCTGATGTAGATCTCACATGATAACACTGGGGTCTGTCACACAAATCAACGAGGATCAACGAGGTTAGCTTAATTATAGCTGTTGATTATGCTCTCACAAAATCAGGTACACAAAAGCTTTTTCCACTGTTGTTCTCGAGCCATCTCATATCATGAAACACCACAGACATCTGACAGCTGCTTGATGTTAGCTATGTGTGTTGCGAGGTTAAGCTAAACTCAGCCGCGGCTAATGTTAACAAACATGTCCCTACAGTTAGCATTTGCTACTTTTGAAACAGCAACTGATGCTAGGTTCATCGGGTAATGCTACACTTCCAACAGATCAGTAGCTAGCATGGTCAGCACCTCAACAACCGGTTATTATCATCGTTAACGTAGCCGGTAGCATTAGCCCCGTTGTCCCATACGGCTAATGGGCTGTGGCACCAAACTGCCCTGACAAAACTGTGAATTTCAGGTGCAGTGCATTTTAACGAGAGTTTCTATCGGTGTTATTAATATTTTAATCATATAGGAGCAATTATTGGGGTGTTGTGCTCCGTTCGGCAAATGCAGCGCCAACAAAGCTTCGTTTTAATCCAATAATATACATGTTACATTTTGAGATTTGGTTGAGCTGCTTGTTACCGCCCAGCTGAAATTATTCATAAATTGTCAACAAAACGAATGTATTTGAATATGACTGGTATCTATGACCAAACTCGTTCTGTGTGCACGACTAACGTTACCAACACCAGGCGTTCAGCGTGTTAAATTGTCGGATTATTGAATGGAATATGGCGGAACCCTCTCCCTGGACATCGGCGCTAACTCAGCTAACGTCTCCCTCCTCAGCGACCTACATTTGTTCTTACCTGTCGTCTGCGCGGCATTTTAACCTCGATGATCGCTAATCCCGGTGAACCTGAAGAAGAGAACGTGATAAATCTCCCAGCACTAAAGTTAAAAAAAAGGAAAGGAAACTAATTATTGATTTTTCATCTTTTTAGGGACAAGTTTGTGTGTACACAGCGTTGCCAGGATGTGATCGCGCCACATCCTTCACAGGCGGAGCAGAGAATTGTACTTCCGGTGTGAAAGGAGCTTCCAGAGCAGCAGGGGGCGATACTGTGCTGCTAGACGAGATTTGCATGGTGCTTCGTTTATATATTGTATTTATACTTGCAAAAATACACCACAGCAAATTTACTTGTATGTGTAAATAAAACCCTATTCTGTTTCTGATCAAAACTATTATCTTGTGTTTTGTCCCACTTCCCCTAATATCCCAAGTTAATTCACCTGAAGTGACATATGTTTGCACTGTGTAGTTTTACTGTGTTATATATTATATATATAAGTCCAGTGCTGCTTGATTATGACACCTCCATGTCAGCTGATTCACATAACTCCAATATAATGTGTCTCCGGATTTCTTTGGTATTATTAATTGCATTTTCCCAAAAATGACACCAAAATGTTGTATTAACTGTTACATGTATTGGTTTATTAGTGTAGTCAAAATAATACATAAGCTGAGCTCTTTATTTAGATTGTTTAATACATTTTTATTTATTTATTTTTATTACGTCAATGTCTCCAAATGCTCTTTCTTCATTCCCAAACCTCTCATTTGTTGCCATGTCCTTTTTGGTTCACTGTCTCCCTGCCCCCCTAGTCCCCTTCACGCTGTTAAGCCCCCTTGCAGTCGGGGGTGGCTGAGGTATTCGAGACCCCAGAAAATGCATCTGTTTTCTCGAGAGTTCCACTGACAGACCATAAAGGGCAGAGCAAGTCAGGCCAGCAGCTGATACCAAATGCTCTATAAATAGCTGGCAGGGCCTGGTCACTGCATCAGAGCGCACAGCCCGAACAAACTTTTACAGACAAAGGAGTAAGAAAGTAGTTTCTGTTTTAGTTTTGTGTAAGAATTAGAATGAACAAGCCCAAAATTGTCAGACCAGAGGAGAGGTAAGTACTGCCAGTCTCCTCTCTTTACTAACTACTCTTTATTAATCTTGAACAAAACATGCTTCTCTTTACAAGTCTTTTTGTTTATGAAGACTTCTAAAGGAAACTAACACAAATGGCCATATAGCATATTCACAAGTTTTACTTTTCTGTGTGTTAACAGCCAGCCAGCGCATGTGCTGTGGTTTGACAGAAAGAAATATGTCACCCTTAACTTCAGGGTGCAAAAACCTAAAGACGTCCAGGTCGATATCCAGCCAGACAAACTGATTTTGTGGTGAGTTATTTGTTTTTTTATTTCTTCTTCTGTGTGATACTTATTGTAGCAGGGTTTTCTGAAAACCTTTTTAAAATCTATTTCTTCAAGGGTGTGAAATGATAAAATGATGCAAATTGTGTCCACGTTGTGCTGAATTGTTAACCTGAACACCCTGTCCTGTCTTTACAAACAGCTGCAAAAATGACACTGATGATGTGATATACAATGAGCTGCACTTCTACGACAAAATCCAAATCTATGTAATCATCTCATTTTTAGGCATGATGCAATATACTCAATATTATATGCTGAAATATACATTCATTGTGATTTGAATATAGACTTACCATGCTTCCAAATATTTGCCACTTGAAAGGATTCCAGAGAAAGAGTCTATGACCGCACCATCAACTTCTTGCTTAGGAAGGTGAAGCCTGATTATGCATGGCCGCGTCTCCAGAAGGATGATGCCAAGGTAAGTTTTACTTTGCCCCACATTTACTTTTGAAAAATCCCATGATCTCAGCAGAGTTTGAAGTATTGACGGGTGTGTGAGAGTAAAAGCTATGACGTACTGTGCTCCTCTGTGAGCCTCTCCAGGCTAAATAAATGGAAGTGTGTATTCTTGCCTTGTTCTTTGCAGCCCAGTTGGATTTCTGTGGACTTTGATAACTGGAGGGACTGGGAGAATGAGGAAGATGATGGGAAGGAAGAGTATGACAGATACATGGACGTAAGCGACGTGATAAGATCATTCTGATAATGTTAAAGAGCTAGCATGCACAATATTCATGTTATTTTTCTGTGTGTCATTGATGTTGTTTTTTTCAGATGATCCAGGACATGGCTACAACTAATAAAGGAGAGACGCCAGACATGGGAGATCTTAGTGATGTAAGTACAGAGCTCTCATAGACCAGGAACTTATTTCTAAAAAAGTTCCAACAGACTCAGGGTTAAAACTATAATCTATGAAGTCATGCTGAACATATATTCATTCCAAGTTATATTTTTATGCTGTGATGTAAACTGGAAAAAGTCATAAAGTATCACTTTAAATGATGATATTGATCGAGTTCTTCTCTTCTCCTCCACAGTCTGACTGAGACTCACTGTCACTCCCCTGGGTTTGCTGAAGCTTGTAATATTTGTTGATGATGTGATTCCCCCAAAATACTGTTTTTACACAATGTGACATTTTGTATGAGATAATTTATTGTTTTTGTCCACTGTACACTGACGATTCACTGTCACTTTGAATAAAATACTTTATATCAACTGTTATCTGGTGTTTGGGTGCTTGTTATCTTTCATGTTGAAAGGGAAGCAAATAAAGAGCTTGATACTGGAGCGTGAAGATGAGAAACACAAAGAGGTAAAGCAATTTTTAAAACTAAATAGCTTCAATGAAAATGAATCTGCATAATCATGTATGTGAAAATATCTTTTTAATTGACAAGCCTCCAGTCAGAGACTTACTTTCATGCAGTGTGATGCAGCTTTTTTTTTTCATGTTTTACCTTCAGCAACACAGCCAAGCCTGATACTGGATGAGTGATGTGTTTTTCTCTTATTTTATTTCGTTAATTTATCAAAAAAATATTTTAAATACAGATGATATGTCAGCAGATGATATGTATTTTTAGATCTCAGTTGGGAATGTGCAGGGACATTTTCAACCACTATTTTGGATGGAGATGTTTGGATGCACCCCAAGTTTTACGTTAGCCTATGTACAGTTGTTTTTTGTACACATTTATTATTTTCATAATGTTTATAAGAAACGTGTATTGTTTGATATTTGACATTTCTTATATTGGTATAAAACTTTTTTTTTTAAACTATTTATTTAAACTATTCTTATTTATGTATTTATTTAATTGTTTTATTCTATTCAGGAAGAAAAATAACAGGTTAAACCTTAAACCTTAAAAAAAGAAAAAGGACCCTCTAAGTCGATGTTACTAAGTTTGGACCTTGTTTGTAGCCGTACCCCCCTGACAGCTGATCGCTCATATTTGTGCAGACTCGTGCTGCTGCAGTTTTACTCAGAAACTTTTCACTATGGCTTTTCAGTGTCAACGGGACTGTTACCTGCAGGAGGTGAGAGACTGTGGATCAGAGAGAAATCATTTCATTACAAAACATCAGGCGGTAGTTGTGTGCAGAAGCGGTTAGCATGGTGGCTAATAACAGCCAGCTAACGCCGAAGCTAACCGATATGCTGTGAAACCATAGATTTATGAAGGTGGACGCTTCTGTTATGCTACTAAACATATATACAGAATAGAAACAACTGTATTGCCTGTAATGAGGTCGTCTAAATGTCATGGCTGATACACTGCAAACACCAGAGAGTTAAGTATATGTACATGTTATGACTGCTTGATCTAGATAAAGCAGCGATAGACATACTTGTATATAAACAGGGCAACAAGGCTGCACAGTCACCTTTTGTCACACCACTCTTCCCAGAAAGAGGAAGGTTTTCATTGCATTTCTTATTTTCCCTGTAGTTTGTCACCTCCGTCGTTTCCTGCTGTCCCGCTGAGTTAAAGCAAGAAGTCAGTGGAAAGAAAGAAACTGTCAAGGGGTTCAACGTCAAGCTCCAAGACACCGTCTTGTTTCCTGAGGGAGGTGGACAAGTACGCTTCTAATATTTTTTTAATATCAATCATCTTTTCAAACTTATATGTTGACCCTTTTGGATATGCCTTGTCATCAACACCTAAAGTTATACAGTGTAGTATTACAGAAATGTTTCACAGTATGTTGTTTCTTCCTTCAGCCAGATGACCACGGGCTGATCGGAGATGTCCCAGTCTTGAGGGTGACGAGGCAGGGACCAGAAGCCGTACACTTTGTGACTTCCCCCCTGGAGGTGAGCCAGGAGGTGCATGTGAAGGTGGACTGGGAGAGAAGGTTTGACCACATGCAGCAACACTCAGGTAAGAATCAATACAAAAGAGATTGTGACTGATCATATATTGTTTTAAGATACACGTCTTCTTCTTTCCTTCTCTTAGGTCAACATTTGATCACAGCATTGGCAGATTCGATGTTCGGATATAAGACCACATCTTGGTAACCACTGCACAGATTCTTTTCACTGTACATGTTAAAGACTTGTGAGTTTATTTGTCTCCTTTGGCTGTTTTTTCTTCAGGGAACTGGGGCGTCAGAGAAGCACCATTGAGCTAGACACTCCCTGTGTGAAGCCTGCGCAGCTCCAGGCTCTGGAGGAAGTTGTGAATGAGAAGATCAGAGCTCATGTTCCTGTCACTGTTCAGCTGCTCTCTATAGACGACCCTGCTGTAGAAAAGGTATGTATTTTGCACTTATTTAGATTTGCTTATTCTGTTTCAACACTGTATCTATGAGAAGTATGATTTTACATGAAAATGTTGTGTGATGGGTTTGAACAAGGTGAGGAGTCGCGGGCTGCCAGAGGACCATGCCGGTCCGATTCGGATCATTGATATCGAGGGTGTCGATGCCAACATGTGCTGTGGGACGCACGTGTCTAACCTCAGTCACCTACAGGTCAAACATTACACACAGGCCAATACACAAACACAATGTTTGGATGGGGTGCTGTTTGCTACTATGTTGATATGTCGCTTTCTCAATCATCAGTTATTGCTCCTTCATTAATTTTTTTCACTTCCTATGTATCTCTCCTTTTTACTCTGCTCTGTCTTATAATCTCAGGTTTATCTCATTGACTGTGCAATTCAGTGGCTCATGTGTAATCTGTTTAACTGTATATATTCTGTTTACAATTTCTTTATTATTTCCATTCTGTTTGTATTTTTTGTACTTCTTTGCAATTATATAGCAGTTATTATACTCATTGTTACTTTTAAGGATATTTCTATTTTGACCATCCTCTTTGCTCTTTGAAACTGCAAATTTGCCTGTTGTTGTACTGATAAAGGGTTTTCTTATCTTAAAAGCTTCCCAGTATTTAATCATGCAAAATTTAATTTTAAATGTAAGCAGTGATACACCACAGTTGGTAAATGGTCAGAACTAAAATGTTAGTTTAATACATTACTCAGTGATGGGAATAAAACTTGAGTGAAAAAATGATTTTAGTAATCAAAACCTTATCTGTACTTTAGGTAATCAAGTTACTGGGAACTGAGAAAGGAAAGAAAAACAAAACCAACCTGATCTTCCTGGTAGGAAACAGAGTTTTGAAGTACGCTGAGAAAAGCTACAGCACAGAGCGCTCGCTGGTGTCTCTTCTGAAGTACGTGTAAAGGATAAATATCATCAGTATATAATCAAGCTGATACAGGAAGTTTAAAATGGGAAAAAAATATTTTGTATATATTTTGTCGCTGTTCAACAGGACTGGACCTGATGAGCATGTTGAGGCAGTCGACAAGTTGCAGAAATCTGGAAAGCTGCTACAGAAAGTAAGAGAATCTTCATTAATGTTCCTTTACTGCTCATACTGATTCATGATTGATAACATAAAGAGAAATATGTGGTACTGATGTTGTTGTAATTCCTGGTAATTGCCAGAAGAGGTCATTAACTATTACAGGTTCCTTTAAATGACAAACACTGTATCATACGGCAGATCAACTCTAACCATCACGGCTTTTGCAGACAAACCTGTCACTGCTTCGAGACATGGCCATCCTCATTGCACAGAATTTTAAAAACACCCCCAAGAGAGGAAACTTCTTCACCTTGCACAAGTAAGAAATTCATAAGGGCTGTTTTGTATGTATAGCAGAATACACCGGCCTCATACAACCACAGAGAAAATGTTTGTTTTTCTTTCTATAGGAAAGAGGGTGACAATGAGTTCATGAATATAATTGCCAATGAACTAAATACTGAGGTAAGATCATAACCCATCCTTTGTTGTTGGTATTTTTTTACATTCCCCAATGAAATATGTTTTATTGAAGCTTGTTTTTGTCTGCTTGTAGGAAACCTTGGTTTTCCTCACTGTTGGAGAAGAAAAGGGACCTGGTTTGTTTCTGCTGGCTGGACCCAGTGGACAAGTGACTGAGATGGGGCCGCGGTAAGAGACACCAACCAGTATTTATTTAGCTTCTACTGCCACAAATGATGTAGGTTGGTGCTGTATCGCTGCTTTTAGACATGTACTGAAGTACAGATGTTCTCCTGAAATTTCCAAGACATTTTCCAGAGGGGCTATGTGACAACACAAATGTCCGACTCAGTTGCTCCTGACATTTTCCAGAACCTCTCCTAGGAGCCCCTCTGGTAAAATGTCAAAAAAATGTGTGAGCCCATGTGAGAATACAACAGAAAAATGTCAAAATTGACCACAAGCGAGTGGGTGTGTTGATGACATTTCCAGGCGTGTCGTGCACGCGCCTGAATGTTCTGTAACGAGTCTGACTGTCACTCTCCTGCTGCATTCTTCATATGTGAAATGCAAACTCTGGAAAAGGTCCAGACCCATTTTTCCAAGAGATCATGTCTGAAAACCGTGCACAATTCTCTGTGTTCTCCAGGGTGTTGGAGATGCTCCAAGGGAAGGGGGCGGGCAAGAATGGACGTTTCCAGGGTAAAGCCAACAGTCTGTCTCGGAGAGGAGAGGTGGAGGCTTTCCTGCAGCAACACTGCAAACATCACACATCAGAGGAAGAATAAAGCCGACAGTACCCCAATACAAATGTTATAGTTTAGGTGATTGTCCTAAATATTCATATTTTGCGCTAAACGCTAAAGGATGGGTATGAGATTAATCGTCCATGTGAAAATGTATATAACTGGGACTTTGGTATAAAACGTGCTGTACATATCTGAACGTTTAATGTCATTTGCTTTTCATATTCATTTAAAAGCTCATCCGTTTAATTAAAAGTCTTATCAGAGAAAATACCATTTGAGCTTTTTTTTTTCTCACCCCAATCAGGTTAACAATTACAAGTGGGAGCTGGATTTCCTTAACTGCCTGGCTCAAGAGCATCTCAATCTTGAATTTAAAGATAATGTAAAATCTCCAATGAAGGGTTTCAGAGTTCTGCGGCTCACCCTGCTGTTTGACACACACATGTACTTTCCCATGGATAAATAAATACCAACACCTGGTGAATATATAGTATATGATTTAACATGCAGAATATGGACATATTTGACATACTGTTAAAAAATCTTTGGCAGGATAACATTGAGAGATAGAAACCCTGGTACACTGAAATGCTGCCTAATAGAACTGTCAGAATAAAGTAGTGAAACTATCAATAGTTGTCATCTCATGTACAAACATGCATTAATATTAGAAACCTCTTATTTCATTGTGCAACCCAGTAAAAAATTACCACCAAATGCCAATAAAATCAGTCAAATCAAATACTTGTTGCATACAGTGTGCTTACATTTTTTAAAGTATGACAGGACTGTTGTATTAGATTGCATTGCAGTGTAGAGGAAGATTAAAAAATTGTGTGAGTGCGTTTGAAGCAGTGGTTTAGAAAACAAGTATGTCACAGTTCAGCGGTGTAGACAAAGTGTTCATGGTAAAATGTGTAGATCTAATAGTGTAACAGTGCAAATGTGCAAGCCCCCCCCCCCTTCTCCATAAACAAAACACTTGAGGCATAATAAACTAAAAAGATATGGAGATGTTTTGTAACTGCTCAATGTGATCCTGGAGACATTTCCATTGTCTTTTTCAGTTCCTGCTCCTCCTCCACAGTAAATCTATGCCAGAGGTTTCACTATCTTCATCGAGATGTAGTTCTGAAAAAGAAAAAATAGCACAATCAGACAAGCACACACCACAACCTCACAATATCCTCTGCCTCACAATGTTTACAGCCTTTAGATAAGTCTGACCAATATCACTGCCGTCTGTCTGTCCTTACCGGTAAAGAGTACAACAGGATGGCGATGAAGAGAAACACTATGGTGAGGATGATGAGTCCAATGAAGAGGCACCTGAACCGTCTCCAGACAATGAACTTCATGGTCTTACATGGGTTGGTGAACCAGAAGAAGGAGGTTTCTGGGCGTCTGGAGAATGACAGCGGAAAGAGGCATTAGAGTCTTGAGAGACACCTTTGTAATGAATCCAATCTGCACAATGTTTTCTAATAATCGCCTTGACAGTCAAAATTTTCCTGCCAAAGTTTCTTAAGGAGCCAAAAGTTTAGTTTCACATTCATTCTAATGAGTCCTTACTTGGGAGGATCCAGTTTTGGGTTCATGTTGGGTTCGTCTCTGGCTTTTCCTGCAGGTCTCTCATCGGCATCTGCTTCAGGTATGATTTCCAGTGTCATCTCCACTTTACCCTACAAACACAGATAAATAAGCATGATACCACAAAACGTATAGCAATGAGGACGTCTGAAACACCAGGCCTCTTAGTGTAAGTAAGACTAATGAATATGAAACGCAGGATTCGGGGCAGAGTAACGTCCTTATTCCAGAAAAGGACAATTTTAAATTTTAGTTCAGTCACTTATCAAACTGAAGCAGGAGGCATGTCAATTATGTTGTTGATTTCCCTAGAAAATCTTTTAAATCAACAGTGTCTGTGATGTCATTCCAAAATTCTCGCAGCTAATTAAGTCGAACACTGAATATCCTTGTCATCCAAACCGGTTATTGCTCATTCATTTGCTCAACAGTTTAGGTTTGAATATACCCCCCCCCCCAAAAATGCACCCACTTTTCTGTGGGTTACTCATACTTACACCCAGCACCTTCTTTCCATCCTGTTCAATGGAGCAGGGCCACCAGCCGCGAACTGACTTCTGTGCAAACAGAGACTTGGCTTGCTCCGGCTTGCGTGGGTGTCCGATGTCCAGATTGTTCATCATCGCCAGAGAGCACTTCTCTGGCGTCTTCGCAGGAGCAACTACGTCACGCAAATCCAGCTCCAGAGTGCCTGGGATCACAGAGTATTATGTGGTCTGTGGTCAGGTTTTGTAATGTCTCCAGGTAAATACACCTTAAATGTAGTATCTTACCGAGGTAATCGTCCAATGAGAATTTGTCGTTATCCCATATTTGAACTATCAGCTTGGGAGGAATCCTGAACTCTGTTTGGTCAAGACTCCAGAAGTGCTCCTGTTGAAAAACATGTGAACACAGGTTTTAGATGATGCATTACAGCAATACAGATGGATTACAGTGGATTTCCCAGTGGAAAATCTGATGTATTTAGGGAACTGATATATGAGTCTTTGGCTAAAATGAATTTAAGTTTATTCTAAAATGGTCAATAGTTCAGACGAGCCTCACCTTCTTGGACACGAGGCAGAGTTGTTCAGCAGGCAGATAATCAAAGCCGAAGACGAACCTCCAGTTAAAGTTACCATCTCCGTCCAGAGACCTGTAGTGGACATCTGTCTTCTGCTTGTCCTCCTCCATGCCTGGCATCCAGCTGGGACAGGGAACAACAAGTCATTTTCCCTGTCCAGTTCCACAGTAATGTTCTACTACAGTTTTATTTAAAAAGTCACCAATATTGTGTACAATATAATATGAATATGAAGTAAATAACCAACAAGTACTATAATCAACGATTTAAGGTACCATTGTGAATTCTAAGGGAAGCACTGGTGTTATCTGTAGAGCAAACTTCCAGAACGTTACATGTAAAGATAACATGATGAATAATCAAAAATACCCTTTGACATAGATGTCGCTCATGTGTTCTCCGGTGATGCTCGTCTCATCTAAAGTCACATCGGTGGTGTTCCAGACGACAGCGCGCAGGAAATACCTGAACATCAGACAGAGTGGGTGTTAGTCCTCTGGAATCTGCACCTCACGTACCTCAGAGCTGCACAGCACTCACTTCTTAGGTTTGCGTGGTGTGATGTCAAACGGAGGACCAGGGGGGCCGATGCTTTTGGGGAAAACATCCACCCACATCTGAAGCTTTCCCTACAACAACACAACATGCGTGTTACACATAATAGCAGCATCGACAGTGTAGGTAGGTGGACGTGCATTGTGCAGATACAGTGTATGTAAGTTGTGACACTGAACCTGCGAGATATTCGGCTGGAAGGTGCTGTAAAGGGTCCGGGTCTCCACATGTTCATGGACAACTCCCTGCGTTCTGAGCACGTGCAGACAAAGTCGTTCTCGCGCTGGACCCAAGTGTTGGTGGACTTCCTTTGCGTTCTCTGGATGTGATGAGATTTACACCTTTATTATATTTAACAGCCAAGCTGAGTGTAGACTCAGTTATCACCTCCATGTTGGTCTTGTTTGTAGTCTAATTACAGTGGGCCAGTATCTGTATCGCTTTTTTAAACCTAAAATTTAGATGATAGAGATTTTACATTTTTCAAACCCTGCAGAAGCCCTATATGACCAAAGTGAAGATATCAGGCTATTCAGCATTTTGTTCCTGACTGAAATCCATTAATATTTGTTCCTATTTTATTCCTGAGAGGATAAAGCCCAATGTCCTTGGTGAACTCTGGAGTTTCGGTTTGTAAAAAGCTTCCTTTACCAATTTGACAAACAGGCACACAGAGTTGCAAACAGGTCAAAATAACTTCTTATTTCCTGCTCCTTTAAAAATAAAGTTCTGCAGAGAGCTGTGAACAAAACCAGTCTAACTGAAAGTGATTCATTCTAACTAACCCACAGTGCAATCAAAATCATCATATCACTTTAGTTCATTACCAAACTGAACCAGTGTGTAGTCTTTGCCATTGAAGGTCAGCGAGGTGCCGTTGTCTTCAGTCCTGGGTTTGGACAGGCCTTTTAGACGGGCCAGGTTCTCCAGGATCTGAGACGGCTTCAGCTGGTCCCTCCACTGGTTAATACCAGAACTGAGAGGGCAACAGAGATACATCCATAAGAGACTGATCATGACCGAACTCCTTTTTTGTTCCTCTTAATATTACCCTTGCCCCTGGATTTTCCTTACATGCAGTATGTTTGTGGCAGGCCGCAGTAGGAGTTATATCTGGACAGGAAACGGTTCTCCAGGTCGATCACCGTCTCGCCAACCTTCTCGTCACGGCTCAGGAGATCAAAGTCATAGACGGAGATCTTCAGGTCCTTGTCCTGGGGCAGGAAACATGTCATCTCAAACATCCTAAACCAAACCAAAGAAAAAGTGTTTGAATAGAATTCAACTTTATATTATCTATATTATTTCTTTATTATTTAAAAATGTTCATTCATAACATTTACCTGCCAAACACAGGGTTGATGGTGTTGGGTAAGTAATTGTCTCTGTCTTCAATCGTTTTCTTTCCCAGCGATATCTTTATGTATGGATCACACTGAACACAAGAGGGAAGACAAGTTAAAGCAGCAGGTGGAGACTGGTGCGTTGAAGTATGTTGACTTTTAACAATAGCAACACAGATTCATTCTCACTCTGCCGTTATTATCTTTGGGCTGCAGGTCTATGGCCTGGACCACATAAATCCTGACCAGACACTCCTGAGGTCCACTGTCTGGCAGCTCTCTGAACTGTCGGGGGGGAGCAGTGACACTTGGGTCGTCTGGCAGAGGATACACCTTGAAGGAACCCTGCAGGGACAAGGAACACACGCAAAGAGGATTTGACTTTTCCTGCTTTGTACATTAACTGGATTTGGTCCTGAGCTGAGGAGACTCTGCATATTTTGGAGCTTTACAAACTACTATTCAAATTATTATTAGCAAATAAATCATCAGATACTGATGAATCTCTTACACTATTTTTGATAGCAGTATATCTACACATGTTAGGGCCCAGTCTTACATCTGGCACCAAGTAGCATGAAGCTAGTGTCTTTGGTTCTGAATGGTTTCAAACTACCTTGAACTCTCCGACCACTGTGGGGTCATGGTCTCCATTTTCATTCTTTCCCCGCTGCAGTTTGAAGGTGCTGCAGAAATCTGTCAGCCCTTTGAATTCTGGGACGTCTTCCAGTTCACAGTCATACACCTGAAAATGTCACGTTCATGTCATCAATAGCTAAGAGGAAAATCTGTACAATATACAGCACTTAGTGATGCTCACTATTTACACAATGATGATGTTCAACACTGTGGGAACAAATTACGCTGACTTACTTTGAGGGTGTCGTATCCCTTCTTGATGTACGGGCCACATCTCTCCTGGTCTCCAGATGAAGCATAGAATTTGCTCCACCAATCAACTGTCTCTTTTTCCTGTTGATTGAATTGCACATGTTCAATATTCACATGTTTAATTTCCGGCATTTTGTGTGAGAAACTGAAATGTCCTGTTAACTCTCACCTTCTCTTCAAGCTTTGGAGGAAGAAAATGCAACGTGACACAAAACAGAAAAGTCACTTCTCATACAGCAGTAACACAAGCAAAAACACATATATACAGTATATACATACAAGGTACAAATATTGGAAAGAAAGTGAAACGGTGAATTATGGTGAAGGGTGGTGAACAGATCACAGCTGTAATTTCACATTGAACAAATTGGTGAAACAAGGGCGTAACACAGTGGATTACTGGGTTAAGGTCTCCAGGCCTGTAGGGGGGGTCACTGAATAACTCCACCTCTCCCTCAAAGTACAACATGGCAGCGGAGATTTCGTGGTATTCGTGCCTTTCATTAGTTTGTGCCTTGTCTGACAATTGGGAAAGTTGTGTTAAATTGGAGACCAAAACCGGACATTTGGCAAACCAGGCTAAAACTGGCTGTAGCTTCATATTTAAAAGGAGGAGCTGCAGCAACGACAGCATGACAATATGAGGAAAGTGATGTTTTCTGGTTAAGTTATAACCCAAATTAAAATCATGAACCTGGATATGAGCATATGTCAACACAAACAACCAGAGAGCTAATATCCCTCCTTCCCAAAATGTCAAACAGCTGTAAACAGAATAATACTTCCAGCCACAACATCAGTGATGATGTTTTAATAGCAATCTCTACTTCCATGTGTGTAACATGCCTGATGGCCTCTTTACATGTTACGCCCCTGCTTTGATCATTAAAATGTGCTCATTCAATTAGTGACAATTAAATTAGGTACAATTACAGTTGTTGTGACGATTCCGACATAACAGCAATGAGTCATTATTAGGATGCATACGCTGGCTTGCTGTAGCTCTGTGGATTAAGTGATCTCAGCCTTCCAGTGTCATTGGTACCCAGCCACGTGAATTAGAAAGCTATAATAGGTAACCATACATACAAAGTGGGAGGTAGGAGAAGCCATTTTGTTGACAGCAGCAGACATGCTGTACATGAACTGTAAGAGTGATACAGTTTGAATTTGACTGAAAATTTCAGAGTCAAATTCTGGAGCTATTTAACTGATGTTTTTAGTGTTAAAAACAAATTATATATAAAATCAAAACAAGGAATTAGTGATAGGTTGTGGTAGAAGGTGGTGGAATTTACCTGAGCTTCTAGCAGCGGTCTCTTCTCATCCATGTTAATCGAGAGATGTTTGCGAGGGGAAGACATCATCAGGGCCACTGTTGATGGTAAGAGGACATTACAGCAAGTCATCTTCTCTCAGAGGCGTTTCTGATTTCTTTTTGGATGCTTCCTTACTTTTGGAAGACATGGCTCCTTCTGCAGTGATGACGTTTGGGTCACATCTGAACTCCTCCAGAGAACTGATGGTGCACTGACCAACCACCGGCTTCCTGCCAAATGGACGGTGATCGATCACCTTCAGGACAATGGGAGGTGTGTACATCTCATCCCTTGGAAGGAGCTGGATGGAGCAATTAGAGAAAATGGCAGGAAAGAAAACCGTAATGAAGTACTCCATCCTTGGGACTTCGCTTAATCCCCACAGACATACCCTGTGACTTGTGTAACCCCGACTTTACCACTTTGATGAAGAGAACAGAGCTGGGGAAGTTGGGGCTCTTTTTCATGTTCTTGATGACGGCTGACTCCACCCTCTGCCCCCCACACTCCACCACCAGGCTGGGGGATGTCACTGAGGCCAGCTGGTAAGATTTCATGTTCCTCAGACCCCATGCCAGAATCTGATCAGATACACAGAGGAGGATTTAGAGCCATTACATTTATCAGTTCATGGTAAGAGCATTTAAGGTAGCATATTACCTCCACAGCGGTGAGCTGCACCACAGGCCGGATGCCCTGTGGAACCATGAACAGGTTCTCGGCTCTCTTTGGAGGAGCCAGAGGAAGATCTGACTCGCCTGTCTAGAGAGACAAGACAATGGATTTACCTTATGTTTTTTTTATTTCTCTACAATTATCAAGCTAATATTTCATGATGTGGAGGCATCATGAGATAATTGACCGGATATGAAAAACTAAAAACCAGCTGAAAAGTAAAATCATTGCTTTTGAAAATAAATGAGTAGAGTTGTTTTGTGTTAAATACTGTAAAATAACCTATCCTGGATTACTTTAACTGCTAACCTTGTCTTTAAGGATGAGTTCAGCAGCCAGCAGGGCCTCCCCTGCCCTCTGACCCTTCTGAGTGATGGGATGCCACAAGAGTTTAGGTGTCTGATCCATCCCTGGAGCCAGTTTCACCATTGGGACACAAACAGTGCGGCCCAGCAGCTCATCCTTCCCCTACACAGAGAGTAACACCATTATAATTTAAATTAATCTTCCAAGATTATAAGAATGAGGAGTGCTGAGTCAAAAGAAGAGAAATAACATAGATTGGTTGTATTTTATATCTCGTCCATGACCTACCACTTGATCGTGGTCGTAGAACTCCACCACGACATCTGGGGGGCATTGAACAACGTTCTGGGGGTCTCCATAAATCTCCACATCACTGAAAATCAGAGTTTGGTCCCAGGTTGGGTTCAACGTTGATCGTAGCTTCTCAGTCGTCTTACTGACGTGCAGGAAAGAGACATGTGCATAAGGATCTGTGAAGGAAAAAAATAGATGGTGTAATCTTCTTGAATTGGAGAGTTTGTAACAATTTTGCAATTAAATTCATCTATTTATTATTATCTACGTGCAATGCATTTATTTATATTTTTGACCATCAACTACAATCTTACCTGAAAAACTATCCTTGTCCATAGATGTCATGTTCCGTGCCTGATAGATGTAGACACGCAGATGGTAGATGTATGACCCTATAGTGGGGGAGGAATTGAATATTCATGCATATGTATGCAAGAGCATGTTGATTTGTATGTTCACCGGCATTTGCGTCACTCACTGTCAAAGGAGCAGGATACAGTAGGCGTGTTTGCACCAAACAGCTTGGAGACATCTACTTTTGAGCCTTTCTCCTTCTCCTCAGTATCAACTCCCTGCAGAGTAAAACAAGCAGACGTCTCAGAACTTCTACATGTACATGACTCACACACACACACACACACACACACACACACACACACAGTTAAATAAAAGCACACCATGGCACCCTAGATGAGTTTAATACATGAGTAAATATTTGAAAATATTAACTGACTCACTGACATCAGATCTGATTCATGCTTACATCATTTCTTATTTATTCAAGTATTGATACTCATGTCACTCTGAATTCTGTCCATTCATCATCAGTATCTCTGCCCGTGTGAAATAAGCTGTCGTCCACATCAGAGTATTTTTTTTTCCTTTCTTAACTCACCAGTGCACCCTCGAGTTGAAAGATGGCAGATGCTCCGAGTCGGTCCTCTGGTCCCATCTTGCGCCTCCAGCGCCTTCGACGGAATGTGTCCGATGAGCGCTCCTTCCTGTGGAACTTCCAGCCAATCAGAGAAGAGAATTCCCATCCCTCGGGGTCACCCTGATCCTGCCTCTGTGATTACAGATAAACATGTAGCTCAAACACTTTTTCATGAGAATCTATTCGAATCATCAAATAACTCATTAAAACCAAACATGTAAACATGAACATTTATTTTACGTAACTGACTGAGGTGGGGCTTATAACCTATCTTGCAGCCAGCCACCCTGGGGGAGTGATCAAGTCTCTTTGTCTTCCCTTTTGTGGATCTGTCATGTCGTCCATCTTTATATATACAGTATGTGATCTCAATTAATCAATTGTGTCATTTAAAAACTGAATCTGTCATGACATCAGACCTTGAATGGGGCTACATCACATACTGCCCTAACTGTCCCATACTGACCTCTACAGAAGCTCCTGCTGGCAGAGCAGCTCTCTTGCGTGGCCTGACCAGCCGTCGCCTGCGGTGGACGTGGTACACCTTCTCTGTCGGGACCCAGGATAGAGGCTTGTCGTTTGGAGGAATGGTCACTCCATACTCCCAGCCTGAAGTGTACATGCAAGCAGACATGCACACAATCACACAATTAGTTTAATTATAGTGAATATACAGACTTTATATTAAAAATAAAAAAATAATTAAAATCACAATCAAGCTATAATAAGACAGAGTCCAGGAAAGCCAAGACGGACGTAAGACATTTCAATCCCACATTGCCCATTTGAGTTTACATTCTACACTTGAAGGAGAACAGCTTGATAAAACTACTTTTAGCTTTAAAGGTTCAGTGCTTAAGATTTAAGTGAAAGGGATCTATTAGCAGAAATGTAAAATACAAATATCCTACTAATGTTTTCTCTACCACAGGTTCTCTTTCAAGGGGAGGGTGAGGTGAGGGTTATTAAGCTGCAACATGCTACTTTACCACTAGATGTCACCAAATTCTACAAACTGAAACTTTAAACCTGTGTATATCTGCACCTTGATCATCCACAGCTCTGTTGTCATCCACAGTCCATTCATCTTCCCACATCCAACCTGGAGGACAATCAAACTCTCCAGGGTTACGGCTCTTTTCTCCATTCTGCACAACACAAAATTTCTGTTAGTTGTTCACATTCATTTTTTTAATTTTATTTACTTATTTTAAATCTCAATATTTGTACGACTTCTATGTCACTATAGATTCTCACAAGCTAATCCATTAATGACGTTTGGAGGAATGAACAAGGGGAGAAATATTTAAAAATTGAAGATAGTTGCTCACTGAATGTGTCTGTCTATAAGAAAACAATGCATGCTGTGTGAGTCTGGGTAGTATTTATAAATGTACTGTAATCATATTCATACATATATTTGTGTGTGTGTGACATTTAAATCCACCAAGCAGATTACTTGAATACGAGTGTGGCGTTCTCACCACATCAGTGAAGGGCTCAGAGGCAGCCTTCCACTCTCCGCCAGGAAAGCGAGTCTCATTTTGGAATACCTCATCCATGAATTCAGTGTGTCCTGCATCTGCCTCTGTTAGCAAACTGAAACACAATGTCAAACAAATGTAATATATGTGTGTAAAATATATATTAAAAATACTTAGTCACTGCAACAAAACGTTGGCACTTGTCGGTAGTATCAACTAGAACTACTGCCCTGTGGGTGTATGCTTCCACCAACCACTGCAGTTTTAATTTACATACTTTTTTTTCTAGACTCATATGAGGTCACTGTGACCTTTGACCTTTGAAAACTGCTCAGTTAATATTTGTGTTGAAATGACTGAAGAAATGAAGATTTGTTTTGTGAGGTGACCTTGACCTTGACCTTTGACTACCCAAATCTAATCAATTGATATGTGAATCTGAAGCCGTTTTCAGGCCTGACCGCCGAGTAAAATCCGGATAACTGGCTCCAGAGTTTACGTTTTACACATACACAGGAGTCTTCTACGTGTGTTGCCGCTTTTTCACTGGTAGATATTTGTATTTTCATAGTAAATATATCCAGATGAGCTGCTTAGTCCAGGGCATGTCTGAAAGCAGCTTAAGTGAACTTTTGTGCCAAAATTGAAATAATTATTTTAATGTGCTCCTGAGATATTGTGTTTACAAGGCGTTCTGATGTTCTCACTAGTGTGAAGGCATGAAAACAACAGCCTGGTACACTAATGCAGGCCGCAGCTTTTGTAAGATGACATTAGAGCAGCATCAGAGAGAGGGAGGGGCTTGTGTGTTTTAACAGGGACTGTTTACATGTTGGGAGTAATCCTGCTGAAATGTTTTATTAAGAACCAACTGTCAAGGTGCATCTATAAAGGTGTGTGTTCCTCTCCATGCTTCACACAGGCACTTTTACTTTTCATTATTTGTAATGTATATTATAAACTGACAAATAGTGATAATCAATTAGAAAATTGTCCTTTCGTGCCCACTATGAAGAAATCTGCATTTGTTAGGATTCTATGTACAAAGATCAACAGTCTCATGAGAAGAACTTACGTCCAGAAATGTACAGATGATATATATACAGTACATGAAAAACTATTTATCTTTTTACTATTTATCCAAATGTACATATGGGGTAGCGATCAAAGTGCAGAGTGTGGTTGTTCTTGAGTTGAGGGAGTAGATAAAACTTCCAGCTCACTAATACACTTTATTATTAAATCTTTTTTTATGGCATGAGAGGAATGTAAACGGCACAGTAGTCTACACAGTCCAAAAAATGTGTGTATTCAGTGGGGGAAAAAACCCATGTTCAAATATAATAACCAGCAGTGAAGCTTACATTAAGACAAATTAGTTTCAGTCGTCAAACATCAAATCATAAACTCATTGTTTTGGGTCAGAGAAGAGCAGTGAAAGGTCAAATCCTCATCTTGAATCACACTCACGCTTTCTCTGGGTCAATCAACCAGTCGGCCTCCCACTCCCATCCTCTAGGGGGCATGAAGTACTCCTGCTTCAGCTTCAGTTTGCCTGTTACATCTGAATATTTGTGGCGTCCCACCAGGCCTGTGGTCCCCCACTTCCCAAATACCTTGGCCTGGTTCTCATACTGTCAAAGCAAATAGAGGACATGTTTTGATTCAGATGCTGATTTCACTCAACCAACAATTATCAGGAACAAGAACTTTAACAGTGACAATGTGAAACACAAACACAACATATACACAATTCACACTCATGCCCTGCTTAGATAGTTTTTAAAGTGACGCACCAACTCAGCAAACACGCTGAAGGTTCCCTCAGAGAAGGAGTTGAACTTTTTCTCATGAGCAGACAGACCCAGCCACATGTTGACTCTTATCTCAACTGGCACCTTCAAGCCCTTGTCCTTGTCCATGGGGTACTGAGGGGAAAAGATGGTGTAATATCTTTCATGCTTTCGATGACGACACATTACTACATCAGTTTTTAAAATATTTCCTTGATGCAGATGTGTACCTGTAAGAAGACGGTCTGTGTTTTGCCACAGTGTTGACCACAGGCCTGCTCGCTATACGTGGAGAAAAGGATTTGGTGAGCAGGGATGCGACTGTAGGCCACTCTCTTCTCGCCCCGGAGCATCCAGATGATAACATCAGGCATGCTGTTCTGGGGCTGGACACAGTGGGAAGAAGAACACATAAACAAATGCAGCATCATGGATAGACTGTCTACAAAGTGATATATTAAACATGTCGTATATGCCAGTGTGTCACCTAATTATGATTCTTTTTTTCTCATTTTTTGACTGAGCACATGACTTGAAACATGATGCACCAATTAATACATGCACCATGAGCCCTGAGCCAAGGCCACAAGTTTGTTTTTCTCTGTTCACTTAATAATAATTACCAAGAGGAAAATGTTGCAATCGTCTTTTAAATTCTGACCTATTTCTAAACCCCCAAAAATCTAAACACATTTGAGCGAAATCTTGCAGTGTTTGTACCTCCTCAGCCAACATTTTGAGTTTGTCCGCCCAGGACTCGATGTCAGACAGAGTGTCTCGGATCTCCATGGCTTCTTCCCTCATGCGCCTGGCTCCGTTTTTAGTGGCAGTCAGGGCGCTGTCTCGCAGCTTTTTGACTTGGATGTCCAGGGATGTCAGGTTGGAACGGCCCTCCAGCTCTGGTGTTGGGAAACTGTCGTGATAGCAGACAACAACACATTACATCAAAACAATATGTTAACTGAGAGAACACCAAATAAAAGATTAAAGATAAAAAATTATTGCTTAAAACCATTTTTTGGTTCACGATTTGTCTATAATTAAAAATATTTCCAGACTCTCCAGTTTGTATAATCAGCATATCCTCTGTTCACCTCTCCAGGTCTTCAATCAGCTGATTGAGCAACTTGAGCCACACCTCTACGAGCTGGTTTTCAGGGAGTTTGGCCAAGATGGCAGTTTTAAAAGCCTCCAGGTTAGATTGCTGGAAAACAATAAAATAGGAGTGAGAATTACCCTCTCACACACTCATGCTGGAACATGTACACACACGAAACAAACTGTAGTTCAGTGCTTTATGATGTAATTGCCGCATTCCTGCATGCGTTTAACCATAAGTCAAACTTTGGGAGGATTAGAGAGGATCATGCGGTTATACCAGCCGGTGAGCGATGTAGAGGATGATGTTGACAGTGTCCAGGCGGTGGCTGATGTCCTCCCAGAATGAAGTAACCACCACCACAGGCTTCGTGTTGGCCCAGGGCAGATAATAGTAGTGGTTACCTGTAATAAAATCATAAAAAAATCATCCCGACAATTATTTTTCAAGTATAAATCGAGCATCACATCATATTGTAGCTTGGTCCCTCACCATCAAATACAGCACAGCTATACTGAGTGGTGGAGGCCAGTGGTTTGCAGGTGGTGTCCAGTTTGTTGCCGTAGTTACCGATGCTGACCTCAAACTGGATTGGCTCTCCGGGTTCCTGAATCATGGAAGCGCTGTGGAAGACTGCACACAGACAGTACTTCCTCCTCCTCTGGTATTTCTGATGCAAAGAGGAAAAAAGAAATGAGGAAGTAAAAAGAAAGAGAAGTAGAAATATTTTAATCAAATAAAATTTTGCATCACTCCATCTGCATTTAAGAACCCGAGCACATCCACTCATCCCATGTCTCGACTTCACATCTCATCACATCCCAACTCTGCTGTCATCCTCCACCACACTTGTCAGTTATCACTTGGGGGGTAAAGGTACCTGTGCCACCAGGATGTCATCACTGTGGATACTGTCGACTGCTTTGTCTGCTTTCCCCTCCAGCTTCGTGGACAGCTCCACCAGGATCCTGCCCCTGAACGCCACTCCTTCTCCCTGTGCAATAAAAACACAATGATATGAACTATTGAGAGGGCATCTAAAGGAATATAGGAGACGGATAAAAATTTAGGGGAAATTTCAAATTGTAGGTGTATCAACCATGCACTGGACACTCTAGAACGTTTTGGCAGTAGGGGCAGTCAGCAGTGTTGATGTTGCATCCTGTACTCACCCCACACCTGAATGCTGCAGACATTTTCTGTTGCTTTCTTCATATATGAAAGGCAAACTCTGGAAAATGTCCAGAAGGGATTCTCCAGACATTTTCCAGGGTTCATGTCTGAAAACAGCAAAGATATAGGAAAAATAAAACTGATGATTTACCTTGCCATAATTGAGATCCTCGTAGGGGTCTGGCAGACCAGAGAACTCTCTGGGGCTGCCGTACAGGTTGACAAAACAGGGGCCGAAGACAGGCAGAAACCCGACCTCAGACTCCCCTGTCTTCGCTGGAGAGAGAAGGACATTTTCATTTAAATTGAATTAACCTCATGAACAGACTAAAGCTAAATCAAAGCAAAGCGTTGGTGTTAGTACTTCAGGGATGCTTTATTTGAGGCTGTGGTGAAACAGTGAATGCCGAGAAAGCAAGTGGCACACACTGTTAAGACAAAACGATTAAAACATTCAAATGCTAATGTCAAAACTAGAGCATAGCACAGTTTATTTGCAGTGTACACACACAAAACTAAACCTATTCAGCAACTGACGTGCAAAACATGCTTTATGCGTCTCATCTCATGCAAAACAGAGCAAAAAAAGAACATGGGTGAACCTTCATACGATGTCATTTCCCCATTTCCTGCATGTTCCTCTATGCCAGGAGAAAAAGGACAATTCAAGTACCATTTAGAGGTTAATCCAAACAGGCACATAAGAGTAACAGTTATAGTTACTGCAAAATGAACTTTTTAATACAGTTGTGCAACAGTAAACATCTTAGCTGAGACACAAAGGCTATGAACCTTGGGTTTTCATAGAAGACCAGGACTCATTATCTCCGCCAAAGTCACACTCAGGAAATCAAAATAATTCAATTTAAACATTTTCTAAGAATCTGGATCAGACGGCAGATCTAGAATATATATTTAACATTGTGAGATTTGGCATTTGTCAACATTATGGGAACTGATATCTATGAGTGTGTGAAATTTGGTGCAGCTTGATTGAATTTAAGGGGACTGTTGGGCCTTGGCGCTGGTATGCACTCTATTCTACTCTTATTTCAAGTCAAAATCTTTTCATGTTTTATTAAAAAATCCCAAATAATACCTTCTATCTCGCCACCAGAGGAGGCTATCTTTGCCAGGTTCAAGTACGTGGTGCCAACAGCATCATTCCCTGTCAAACGATCCCTGCAATCACACAGTTACTTTATACACACAAACTGCATTCAACTATAAAACAACACGCACATTTCACAAAGTATGTGAAGTGTTATGAAAGAAAGAAGTGCATGAGATGGAAAAACAATGTCTCTTCTTGTTTATGTATAAAGGTTTTTCAGGGGGAATATTATTGGCTGTAGTTTTCAACACCTTCTTCAGGGCACTCATTTTCTGTAATCTTTCTTCTTGCACTCATTTCCCTTCATCCTTCCTGGACCCAAGTTATGCTGCTGCTCACTCACTCGGAAACGCACTATGATAGAAATAAGCTGTAACACGGTGCCAACAGGATCCCTGTGTTTTTAAGGGGAAAGGGTGGAGCCTGCACAGCCTGAGTCATATGCAGCTGCATTATTCTCATGTGGTTGGTGATGATGGGGCATGGACACACACCAGAAATATTGAGAGACCAAAACAACACTGCCTCCTCACATTTCTTACTTCTTGAGCAGTATCTTGAGCAGAAACTGCCAAATGGAAATTGCAGTTTGAGTTTTACTTACCAATCAAACACTGTCAGTTTGACGGACTCACACATGGAGGGGAACTATAGATGATACAAGGAACAGTCCGTTAATGACGTCCATCACTTTCTTTTGTCTCAGGTCTGTGCTGTAGAAGGATTTTCATCCTGATGACCTCTTACCTTGACTTGAAGGTGCAGAATTTGGTTCCACTCAGGGTTTGCATTTTTCTCAATTATCTGAGTGCACAGCTGCAGAAACAAAACAAAAAACACACATCAGCACTTCTGCTGTCAGAAGACGATATAATACACAGCTTCCGTTTAACACTGCACCTATAACAGGACAAATGATCAGAAGAAACCTTTTTGCCTGCGAAGCCAGCTTCTAAGAACGGATCCACCAGGTTCTTCTTGTTTTCATCTCCTCCAAAGATTTCTCTCATGGTCTGAACGAATGCATCATCCACTGAAATGAGAAAGGGATTTAATCAATCATCAATCATAACCTAATACACTCTTCTTGCTTCTATTAGTTCAACTTCAGCTTACTGTTCTTCTGTGTCTTTAGCTGTGTGTGTTGCATGCGTTACAAATTCTAAATAAAAGTGAATCTAAAGCGACTCTTACTCTGAGGAATGTCCTCAGCTCTGAACACCTTCAGGGACATGGTGGCCCACCGCAGAGTCACACCAGCCGGCAGCAGCAGGTTGCTCTCTATGTCGTCCTGGTCATCATTTAGCTCCCTCTTCTCCACCTTCATCATGTTGGATAGAAAGAAACAGAGTAGAGAGAGAGATAGAGAGCTATGGATGTAGCCACATTATTTACAAGTGGAAAGAAGAAAAGAGCCAGTGAGAGTAAGTGTGTCCTTTTTTACCGGAGGCTCATCTCCAGCCCCAACTACGAAGAGGCTGACTTTGAGGTAGCCTTTAGCCCCAGAGCTGGAGTCGTCTGGATCGTTCAGCAGAAGCCACTTCCTCAAGACACAGTGAGCTGCAACAGGACAAACATATAAATCCATCACATAGACGTGACATTTCATAAACATTTAACAAATCGTGGTAGATTCATTATGTTAGACCTCCTCACAATGCACAAGTATTATATTGATACATATTGGACCTAAAATATTGCTTTTGATATTAATTATATTGCAATAATTTTGTTTTAAAATTGTTTTAAATCCGAGCCCTACCATTAACACAGGTGCTATTTAAATAAATACTGATAATAGCTCATTTAATTTTTTTTAAATGGGGAAGAAATGCAAATCATGTAAATAGGCAACTTTTCATGTTGATCACATTTATCGCATTTCTAAAAATAAACTTACCTGGATCATCATAAACATAACCAACGTCCAGCTGTGAGACAGAAAAACACAAGATGAGCCAGACTCCAGTGAACACATTAACCAGATGTTTTAAATATTAACACTGATGTGAAGAGAAAAATGAGACCAGGCACCTTGAACTCCCCCATCAGACTGTCGGCCCTCAGAGAATAGGAATCGTACACCTGCAGGAGAGGAGAGCAACAGCACAGTTTACATATGAATACATACTGACAGAGGACAGGAGGTCAGAGGTGAAATGTGTCATGCTCACCCGCAGACTTATGTTCTGATCAAACAGATCTGATGGTAGCATGTTGACATTGTAGAAGAACATCTGCAAAAAAGCAACATAGTCAAAATGAACATCCCAAAAAGTAGCACTTATAAGTGGAAAAACTGTATTTTTAATGGCCAACCTTTTCTTAAATTTAAAAATTCTTTAGAGTAGAATGACAAACCTGTTTATATTACAAACTGTGTCATATAGCTTTACTGAGAGTGAAGTGATGGTACCTCATCAAAGAAAGGGTTGTTCCCTCTCTTGATCCTCGTCCTGTGGGTCTGTCCACACACGTTGACCTTCACCACCGGTTTGATGTTGTTCCCAGACAACTGACGAGCCTGGATGATCCGCACACGGATCTGAAAGAGAAACAGCATCACAGTCTCAGTGTAGATTAATGTACCCGAGCATCCGAGTCTGTGATCCCCTTGTATGTTGATAAAAATACACATTAGATCAGTATGCAGATAAACAAGATAGGTCAAAGTAACTAAAACTACTTAGATAGCATAGCGAATGCTGCAGCCACCGGAAACTGACCAGAAACTTTTAATTTGCAAGGAAATAAACCTCTATCTTGTGCTAAAAAATAATTAATTTTACTTATTTCAGATTGTGCAGAATTTGTATTGCTTATTTCTAAATTTTCAACCCAAACATATCCCAGGATTACAGAGAAAGACAAGTAGTCTTTGAAGGAACCTGTAGTACATCATTTGGTTGTAATGACGGGAATGGAGAACATGTGTATGAACTACTTATCCTAAACCACGAGCAGCCCTGTAGTACTGTTCCTGTTCTTATCAGCAGAATAACTGCATTAGTGGCGTGCAGATAAGAAAGACTTTGCTCTTGACCCATGCATCAAACATTTCAAACTTGCAGTAGCTGTTGATAACTGAGTGGCACCAAAGTGAAAAACAATCACACTGACCTGGAAATCCTGCGGTTTATTGACCAGTCGGTGGCGACTTTGCATCCTGGTCAGACGCTGCCGAGGGTTAACAGCCTTACCAGAAGGTGAGGGCCCCCCAGCTGAGCCACTCTGGACCCCGTCTGGTTGAGTCTCATCACCCTCCTCACCTCCACCTCCACCTCCTAATCAACAGAGAGGCAAAATAATCAACAGAACAAAAAAAGACACAAAAAAGTTTTGCACTGTATCATTAATAACAACATAATCATACCAGCATCCATGGTTGCATCCCCTGCTTGAGGGTCGTTGGGGTTTGGTGTAGCATTCGGTGGAGGGTCATAGCTAACCACAAGGTTGATGGTGCCCTGGAAGGAAACAATTGGCTGGTCTAAGAATTCATTTATCTCTTTAAAATCAAAGCAACTTTCTGGTGCTTGCATTTTTTGAATAATTCATACTGACAGAAAATAAACTTACTCCAATATTCTGTCCACTTTCATTCACTAAGGGAACATTTTTGGATGGAAGTGATCTCACTTGACCTGAGGCAAGATCTCGCAAAGAGATTTTGGTCGATCCAAGGAATCTGTTGGGGGTAGGAAAATATCAAGGACACATTAAATACAGATATAGATTTATATACATTATTAGATAGTTTTTTTAATGCCTAATATGCTAGCTGCTGAGAATAGCTTCTAATGAGGGAACATTGATTTGTATCATAACTACAGGAATATATTGACCCTTGAGATATCAACAAATCAGAAGCCCGTTTCCAGAGAACCTTATTAATAGGACTGCTCTCAAAACGTTCTACTGGGGTCAAAGCGCCTAAGTCTATTCTGCTGTTCACATTAATTTAATTTAATTCTAATTTACTCATTCTCATTTATTTAGTCCCATTTGACTGGTCTATTTCAGAGAGGTGTTGAGTCCGCTGATTTTTAAGGCTGTAGTTTGTGATGCTGCTAAATTATAATGCATTTAATCAATTAGTCAATTTAGGTGAACAAAATATTAGAAATACCTCTCGGCCTGTCTTTTTAGTCAGTACTAAAGCTGAAGAGATGAACTAGAGTTTGTGTGCTGAAGTCACGTTCACAAATGGGGCATAGACGTCACCACCTAGAGCTAACAAACCGTACCTCCTCAGACAAACAAACGCACCTCATGAGCCAGCACACAGTCATCACCGCTCAAACGCTACCAACCAGCAATTTGAGTGTTTAGATCACCGGAGTGACATGAACAGAGTCTCTAACCCTAACCCCTTTTCATTAGGAGGTTCTTTAAAAACCTGCAATGAAGAACACAACCAAGACAATGTCATTTTTCCAAGATGTCATTTACAACACCCTAAAATTAAATATTACAATTTGATATAAATAACATTCCTGCAGCTGAAAATCACTGGACACTAGAAACATTATTCCCACCATCTCTACCATACCTTTTCCATTAAGGTATTTGCTTCTGCATGAGTCAAACGTTTTCTGTACAGATTATTAACTACAGCATTTCCTGAAATTAGAATGGCACTAAGTAGAGTTCATTCATCTGTCAAGGTCCAGCAGTCCTGTCTATGAATTATTCTCTTGGAAAACAATGTTGAGAAGAGCCCTTTCTCATAATGTTAAAGAAAGCCAAAAAAAAAAGCAGGATCCCCCCCAAGATTGGGATCTGCACCAGAATTGTATGGGTTCTTCCCTGACCCATAACACATCCTCCCATTAGTAAAATATGTGTTTGGTTGTTTTGGTGCAATCTTGATTAAAAAAGTACAAGTCAATCATTATCTGTAAGGAATATGACAGTATTTCATTAACTCACATTAACTTACATAATTAATGATGAAGAGAAAAAACAAACCGGGGTCTGGGGTCTTCGGCCTGTTCGCCAGATCAACCAATCAGTGAGCTCATATTAATTCACTTTTGCGGCTTTTCCTGTGAATCGTGAGTTAACCTGCCCAGAATCACTCTGAAGCACTTGTAGAAGTATTGCATGAGGTGGATTGTTGTGTCTTGGTGTGCAGCCAAAAACTACAGTTTATTGTGCTGCAGGTTTGCACTCAGACACTTGAAGAGTAAACACAAGCAAGTAAAAATTGAAACTAAACCATTAGGTTGGATAGTTGGAACATATCTCTGGATGGATTAAATTATATTGTGTCCAGAGTAATATCGAATGGAATGTCGTACATCATGTATAATGTATCATTGCTTGGGTGGACTGAGTCATAATGTTTTGGCAGCATTCTACTGATAGAAGGAATTTAATCTGGATGAGAATCACACACTTATTATGGACATTTAGTTCACTGACTCAAACAAACAGACACAAGACTAATGACTGGACCCAAATCTGATATCAAGATATGCTTTGGATTGCTAGAGGTTTTGGGCTCAATCTCTGTTTTTAAAAGTGAATTTTTTTAAGACTAACATGAAATCTTTCAATTATTCATATAGAGCCGAATGCAGAGATATACATAATTAGAATACTCATGATTTAGTTGAACAGCTGAAAATAATCTTTTATCATAATTTGAGATGTATAGTTGTACTGTATCCATAAAAGTGGATAAATCATTGATTGTGCTGTACAAAATTAGTCTTGCAGGATTTTTCTTAAAATGTTGCATATCACCTTACCACCAGTGTAGGTCACTTGGACAGAAACTTTGGAGGAGAAAGGAAAGAGCGAGATAGTTTTGGCAGCATCAGGAGGCTGACTCAGGGATTCTCCAGGGATTAACTGATGATATAAACCTGGTATGTAGCCTCAAAATCACCATCACAATACTTCTGCAGTTTTACTATGGCATCTTCAAAATGATGAAACGTCAAACAGTGGCTTCAGCTAGGTGGTGAACGTGAATGGTTTTTGATTTGCATCTCTTTTGTATTCAGCGGGGCTACATCCTGATATGTAAATATGAAAAGAGTCTGACTGGACAGCATCAACACTGACAGCAGACAATTTACTTTCAGTTGTAGGAAAGCTATTACTGCACAGTGTGTACTGTGAACAGATAAGGGAGGATATGCTCGGACTGATAATCTCCACATTGTTTCCCATGTAAACACAGTGGACTGACCCAAAAAGACTTGTGAGCAGTGTCAAGCTGGGTCTACACACACTTTTCTATGCTTTTGTTTTGGCTCTTTATCATCTACACTGGTAGCCGAGGCTCATGCTACTTCTTTTTTTCCCGAGATCCAATCAGCAAGTGTCATTTCTACCTTTCCAGACTGAAACACAGCCTCTGGAGTTTCCAAAATTCTAAGTTTTAAAACTTCTAAAACTCTGATATGTTAATATGTTTTCAAAAACAAAGCAGTGGGAATGTAGCCCGAGTCACAGAGAACGAAGTATCCCCCATTTACCAGTGATTGCAAACACTCAACCTCCAGCTGGATTAGTTTTCCCCATTGTCAAGGCGTTAAAGTATTCTATAGCCAATGGGACAATAGATTTGTAATCAAACACAAATTAATTCAACTTGTTAGCCTCTCCCATGTTTAAAAGTAAAATGAAGCTCTCATTTATCTCAGCCCAGTGATTATATTTACATATCTGTGAGGGAGCGACTTTTTACACACGCAGCTCTGACGGTTCTTGGCTGAGATTCAGTTCAAAGAGTAAACATCCTCTCCCTGTTAACATTAAATTGGTCTCACAGATCCGTGAAGATGAATGCATGAGATGATCATGCAGCTCATGTCAGATCTGCGACGAAGGTGTGAATATCAGCGATTCCCTGACAGCTCTTCAATTATAGCTGTTAAATATTATTCATCAACAGTTCCCAGCTCTGCAAGGAAATATGTTTCGTTCAGTGAAAGTGCAGTAGGTGAAATATTTGGACACTGTCTCACTTCTCTTTTTTATAAGACAGGATATGAAAATATACTTTGGTTTTGATGTAAAATAATTTCTCGAGCTATATCACATGAGGATTTTTACCCGCCCCTTTTTATCATCCCCTTATTTCCACCTTTCAAATCTGTGCCCAACAATAATTATCAATGGTTTTATCACTTTATAACATCATAACAATTCATTGATTTTTAAAAGTTACATGCCTGTTGGAGAACATTGCAGTTTGTATTCATATATCTCTGCTAGGAAAATACAACATCTTCAGAAACAATCAAAGCAGGTGTAAAATGACAGTCCAGACCACAGCGTTTCAAATGGGTTTCACCAAGGCTCGTTTTCAACCAAGAACTATATGTTTTTGGGTTAGTCTCAGCAATGATTGGATGGATTGTCATGAGATGCGCTGTAGATATTCAAGGTCCCTAGGATTAAAAGAGGAGAGGATACATTCTAATGGCTATTGTGATCCTTTCACTTGCAGCGCTCTCAGTATCTACTGGAGGTTTGACATACAATGTTTGTACAGACATTAAAGAGCCCATATAGGCAACTGGGCTTGGTAGTGTAAGAGGCTTACTTGTACAACTCCTGAAGATACGTGGATGACGTAGCTTGTCTTCACTAATAAATATCGGCCATTTACAAGTTCCTATAATAATACATTTGGGAGTCAACTAGAATAGATAACTGTTGTATCAGATCAGATGTTGCCATGGTATCGATTCTGTCATTCACAGTGGAATGTTTTTATTCTCTTATATTTCACATGATACATTAAGATCATGTGATTCATCTGCATCATGGGGAAAACTGCATGTTATATGATGCACTACAGGACAGGGGGAAAACCCAGAAGCCCAATATGGGCACATTAAATGTTCCCAGAATGAAGATAACTTTTGCAATGTTTCATTGACACACTGTCAGCTGCACTACTGGGAAATGCACTATTCATATTCATGATCCCCAGAGGATGAATTATTACAAAATAAAACAGCTTTAGCTCTTGAAATAAACTTTGAAATAAACAGATGAAAGAAAAGAGTGAGGAAATTAGACCCTTTTCCCAGTGTCTCACTGGCACACTCACAGTGTAACGTAAAACTAAACTTCCTTTAAAAAATCCTTCAAAAAAATGTCTGTTGCCACGACAACATAAAAAAACCAAAACAGCAGTTGGAGAACCATTTGTGAGCGAGCAAGAGAGAGAAAGAGAGAGAGAGTCCTGCTCTGGTCCCGTTGTGTAGATCTTTAGGGAGTGTGTCAGACGGAACAGCCCAGTGGAAAACTTTACTCAGTTTAACATGGACTCCTGTGCCGGAAAGTCTCCTCCCTCAGTTATGACTGTCCCATCCAGGGAAACTTTTACTCAGTAATGCTCATGAACAGATAAAACATTAAAGTTTGACATTTTTGATTCACTCTAAAGAAGGAACAACTTTTGTGTGATTTGTTTTCTCACCATAAACTAAACTTTGATCACAGCAATTGGTGATGTTGTGGAAACATTCTTTGCGGTGGGTCTAAATTGGTCCCATATGGGATTTTGGGTTTATTTGGAAGGAACAATCTTGAGCTGGTTTGCACAGCAGCACTGCTCCTCACGCGGTATTAAAGCAGTACTTGTAACTTTGTCTGCAATACATACATTTTGGAAAGTAACTGAATCATCAAGTTTTTTCCCTGTTCTCACAATGCCACACATAACGCAGCGAGAGAGAAGACAAACAGCAATTCATCCCTCCATGTTGCCCAATCAGCATCAGACAACCCACACAGCCCGACAAGTCTCAGCATGGCAAACAGGGTGTGAGGGGGCAGAGAGAGTCATCGACATAACTCAAACACTGGTTCAATGGGGAAATATCTCACTTAGCTTCCTTGTGTATCACTATGTCAAGGTTTACACTAGTATAGCTCTTTACCAGCAGGTTGGTAGCATGTGCAAATCATTGTTTAGCAGCCAAGGTAGTTCAGACTGATGACAGCTCATTATTGATGAAAGGCCTGACATGCAAACACCTGAAATGCTGCAGCCTAACCTGCTGCCTCACAACTTTGTTCAGACAGGAATAAGGTGCCGCTGTGGTTCAGCCCAGAGCTCCTCGTTCACCCAACGTGATCCCTCTGTTACACAAAGTTAAAGAGGAGCTCAGTCTCACTCACACCCTTGTTGCACTTACTTGTCTTTCCCAATGGTTTCATAGTCTTTCACAACTACGTCTATGTAGGAGCTGGCGTCCAGTGGAGTGCCCTTCAGGTCGAACTCCAGCACCTACGAGTCGAGACAAGGGGCACATGCATGATGTGTCAGATATTACACTTCTACTGCTGGGGCGTCCTGATGAGGCCACATCTTATCTGAGATGCTGATTCGACTTCTCGATCAGAAAGATGCACGACGCCAAAACAGTGACATCAAACTCCTTCTTATCTATATTAGCCACAGCCAAATCTATTGATATAGAAAATACACAGCGTGTGGTCATGTGATAATTGACACACAATATTTTCACAATGTGCTGTCTGGCACTGTATCATAAGTATTCTGTAATCAACCAATCAATCAATCAATCAATTCCTGCTTCTCCAATTCCAGCAAATCAAACTTATCTTTGTGTGTGTGTGTGTGTGTGTGTGTGTGTGTGTGTTTACCTCATTCCACACAGGATTCACATCACTGTCAATTGATTTTGTTTTCTTCTTTTCATCTGGAAGGAAATATATTCAGTTTAAATGTATTCTTGTTGCCACTTCTCAAAGACATAAGCTTGTCTTTACAATGAAAATGTACACTGCAAAACACTTTCAATGGTAACAAATGAATTAGGATTGTTCAGAGTAAAGTAATACTAACAGAGTTAATCAGTAAAAAATAAATAAGTTTGTGTGTTTAAATTAAGAGTTGGTGACATGTTTCTTTAGGAGACACATTATGAAACAAAACTCAATGATGCACCAATAGACAATTTACCCATTAACTCAGCTGACAAAATTAAGGAAAGGCTATTTAAGGAAACAGATTGTTTTTATGTCGGCTTTATTTCCTCTACATGCTAACAGGGAAACAGGAGAGAGAAGCTGCCACACCTGCAGCTGCTGATGAGGACAATGGCAAAACTAAACAGCTGACATCAACCAGGAGAGATCACCCCCCCCACCCCTAACTCATGTATTCCCTTCATTACTACCTCCCCTCTGTATCATACAGATCCAAACATGTCACCCACCATCCCCTATGCATCTTAACTTGCTGTGACATGTGATTCTAATATGGAAACATGCAGGAACATACTGCATTCAAGACTTTCAGTCAAAAACTCAAATCTCAAATGGTTATTAAGTTTTAAGTTGATGCACAAATGGCTACAGAGGAGGACTGATGCATATTTTTATAGCATTGGCTACCGAATAAAAATCACATTAACTGTTGTGTCCACAGAGTGATGTCATGGTAGATAAAAGTATGATCAATGTGTGCCACAGGTTTCCAAGCAGTTAGAACTTTGTAAAACTTTGTTTTTTAAACAACACTTACCTTTAAAAATCACAGATGTAATTGGATCAGGACTTCCAACCCTCTTTTTGGGCAGAGCCCTAGCAGACTCTACAACAACCCGCAACATGGCAACACACACTCACACACACACTCACACACACGGTGGTTCATAAAAAAACTAATCAGTGAAGCATGGAGTCAAAGGTTAAAATAAGAGAAGGAAAGGTCTCCACAGGAGCGTCGAGCTGTGTTAACCTCAGAGCTCCATCAGTGAGACACACAGACACACACAGAGAGAAAAACACAGACAGGGCAGGGCTAAGGAAACCAGGCGGATCATGAGAGAGTGATTAGAATGAGCTGCTGCTGCTGCTGCTGCCATCCTGTGAGAGAGACAGAGAATGAATGGAGGTGGATAAAATCATAGATAAAAACAACAGCGTGTGTATGGAGGGATGATTTTTAAATAAATAAAAAGAACTGTCTAAACCAGTGTTAGTTTACAGAGGCTGTATGTAATAGAACTATTTATAGAGACAGCATATAAAAACCTTTTTATCGCTCTAGCTCAATCTAGTGGCTGTGCTTGGACATTACATGTACATTATCGAAATACAGGATATAGTTTTAAAATGAAGGACAAAAAATGAGTATAATGAAACAAATAAATGCAGGTATGAATAATATATATATATATATTAAACTATCTAATGATGGAAAAATACTAGATCTTAATGTATACATCAATTCATTTTCAAATGAATACTATGTGTACATTATTTATTTTTGTGTGCATTCATTCATTTTACTTATTTATATATTTCTACATTTATTCTTTATGTATTTCTGAATGTATTCAGTCGTTTATTCATCATTTTTAATATTTATTAATTCACGTATTTATTTTACATATATAAGTTCACTATTTATATATATCCACATGTATTTATTTATTTGATTATTACATGTCAGTCATTTCTTTGTATGTGTTTTGATTTATTTATTTATCTCTGTATTTGTACATGTTTACATGAATATACTGTATTCATCATTTAGATATTTCGAGTAGTATTTATTTCTGTACTGCTACATGTATTCAGTTATTAATTAATTTTTGTCTTTCATACTAAACAGTCACAGGTCATGGTCACAGAAAAACTTTTAACCAAAACGTCTATCCACAGAATAAATATTAAATGAATTACCCGACCTTGCTTTTTTGTCTCTATACTCAGCATTACTTTCTATTTTTGTGTCCTGTTCGAGATGTTGGTAATGACCCCCTGACAACCTCACAGTAATGACTGACATCATGAAATACTCTGTTAGAATTATATAGATATCTTGGCAGGTTTCAGTAGAGGCTACTGGTGTGTATTAGGCCCAATGTTACCCCAGGGACAAGGAATTTCCCAGCAGGCCACACTCCACAGGGACTTGTGTTCCTTCATTAAACATGGTAGAGGGCCACTCTGGATACTTCCGGCTCACTGAAGTGGCTAAACTTCACTGGTTGCCTGGCAATGATTAAACTGCATATGAGACAAAGGTGTGAGGTTTCAAGAACATGACAAATTATTGTTGCATTTTCTTTTTACTATTTTTCATTTAAAATATGTTTGCAGAGAAAATGCAGTAATTTATGATTTCATTTCTTTATAGTCGTCATTATGTCAGAGCAGCAACAGTTACCAACCCTACCTCTCCTTGGTGTTGACTAACTTAGCCTCTTTAAATGATTAACCCTCTGAGGGCTTGTCTGTGGGGTTAGTGGCTCTGTTACCCCCAGCAGACTCACAGTTAGTTTGGCAGTCTTCTCCTCAGTGGACGTGTTGACTCCCCTGGTCAAACACTGAAGACGGGGGACTTATTGATCCATGGAGGTGGACATTCCTTTCCTGTCTGGATACAAGAAGCTTTGTTTGAGTAAATTGGGTTTGCATGAAAAGACAGAGCGAGGGATGGAAACAAAGATCTCAGATTGGACCAAACGCTCCCAGGGGGAACTTCTCACTAGGCTGCGTATGGAGCTAAAGAACACAAAATACTGACTCTGGATTAAATGTGGATTAAAACTTAAGCAGGAAAAGATGGAGCAGTATCCGGAATGAAGAATTTAACAAGGAGTTCAGACAGCGAAGCTCAGGTCATCAGTATGGATACCTTAAGAAACCAGAAAAATCCATGGGTGCTTTATGAGACAGAGGTGCCACACAGCAGGTTTTGGTGAGTTATCATCAAATATTTTATACTGATCATTGTCATCTAACTGTTAAATGAGAATAATCTGTTTCTACACACAAACGCAACTCATTCAATGCATGCAGTAAATAATGTGTAGGCCGCATTTCAATATTTATTTCATACCATACCTGCCTGTAAACATCTAATATCTAAATAATAATAATAAATATCTGGCATCTTATCACTTCAAATAGCCAAACAAATACCTCAACTCCCAGTAAAATGTTGGTATTGATCATAATTCTTTCATCCAAACAATCTCAATGTAGTCTGAAGTTGTACATTAGTGTCACACTCTGTCCCTTAATTCACAGATTTCCTCCTCTCAAATACTCCAGACACTGAAAAAGACTTTCTCTATCTCCATCCGTCGTCCCCACACAGCAGTCTCTTTCAGATGCATCTGTGTTTTAACCTCCCTTTACAGCAAACCTCTACACTTTTACTACTTAATTATTTTACGGTTCCATCATGTTGATTGTGAGAAATGAGAATGATGTTAAGGGCCGCTCATGCATGTCCTAACGAAGCTGGAATAAAGAGCTCACATGTGATTTATTGTTTCAGGCTGTATAGTCTCCCTGAGCGACAGGGCCACACAGGAGCTGCCAGCGTGAGGAACAATGAACTTTCAAACACAGCATCTCCCAAACCCGAAGGACTCCCTCATCACTTATTCCCCATTTTCAACTTTCACCAGACACACACATTGGTAGTGAGATTAGATTAGAGTTCATCCATCCATCCATCTATATTTTTGTATGGCTCAGTTGTGTGTTGTCCATATACTGCCACTTGGGAGCGCTGCATTCATTCGGAGCCTTTCACCCATATGCTTTACCAGACAAGACTAGATTAAATAAATAGAATATTTATTTAAATAACAAAGATTAGAAATAATAATCCTAATCCTAATCCTAATTAACTTTATTCATATTGCACCTTCCAGAACATGGTTACAAGGTGTTTCATGAAAGACTGAAGGCCAACAATAGGAAACAATTCTAAACAATTTGAAAATAACAGAAAACCAAAGCACAAATTCAAAAATAAAAAGTGTTATAAAAGAGAAGTGAGTAAAAACACAATAAAATAAAACATTGTCACAAGTCAGAAGTGTGTCTGGAGTGGAATCAGGGGCTGTAGTCTAAGAATAGCTCCTAACTTGAGACAAACTTTACACATCACAAAACATTTAACTATAGTAGGACAAGCTCCTACAACTGTAGAAAGTCAAGATGTCAGTGATCTCCATAAGTGTTAAACACAGCCCTAAAAGTGGTTCCTAATGAAAACAGTCAAAATATACAGTATATGCCCTAATTAACGTTTTCATTCATCTGATTCTCCCCCTGCAGTGATCCAGGCTGCGGAGTCAGTCCTGCAGAGAAACTGAGCCCCGAGCAGCTAAAGCTCCTGAGAGATGCATTCACCGTGACTCGGAGAGCTGGAGAGCAGCAGATACAAGAAGACAGGCCGAGTGCAAGGAGAAGAAACAACAGAGGAAGAAATGAGGAGCAAGGGATGAAGTTTGAAGAGTTTCTTCAGGTTTTGAGGAGAGTGATTGGTCCGGATATTGAGGACACATGGGTTGAGAGGTTTTTCAACGAGGTAAAAAGAAATAAAGAGATATCTATATGAAATTGTAGATAAATAATATCACTTTTCTTCAGCATAAACTCATTGTATAACATCCAAAATCCTGTTTACAATGATGCAGGGGCACTAATGTTGTAAACTTCATGACATCCAGGTAGATATCAGCTGTACGGGTCGGGTGAGATGGCAGCAGCTGTGTTCGTACCTGCTTCTGGAGTACACTGAAAGAGAGCGCGCCTCCATCCCCACAGCTGCTCTGCTGGACTCCCAGCCACAGATCACACACTGCACTCACAACAAGGTACAAATTCACCAGCAGACAAGTGAACGAGAGGGAAATGCGCATCTTCGTAGGATGTTTCAATGAACAATTGAGTTCAAAAGTACAGACTGTGTTTTTTCTGGACGACAAGTATGAATCCAACTGTCAGATTTTGAGTCATAGGATGCACCCAGTCCGCAACTGCAGAGGTAGAGTAGCAAGTAGCTGCATTTGGTACAAAGCATAGATTGTATGTAAAGATGGACGACATGACAGCTCCCTGAAATCGTCATGACTTCCTGGGAGCAGGTTGCAATGTCGGTTATAACCTCCATGTTAGTGGCTGGGACATGGGCCAAATATGTATCACATTGATGATTGTTCAAGAGCTCATTTTTCATAACTTGATGTTACCAAGTGGAGTGATGCTTGATTGCAGACTCTGGCTCCAAATGACGTCATCAGTGGAAGATGCCAGGTCATTTCTGGAATATTTTGGCTTCATTTATGTGATCGTGAGAAATCAAAATTTCTTCCCCAAATAAAGGCTCCTGTCATTGGGCCTTGCTGACGTTTTTAATATTTTCACTAGGACCCGCAAAATAGGCATTAACCTAGTTTACAAGTGTACTCACTAAATCTAGCTATACTATCAGCTTCTTCTCTACACCCTCCTACTGTATATACTTTCTCCAACAATAGGTTATTTCATCCAATAGCCTGTTTTATTGATTACATTTCTTCATCTGCAGCGGGAGCCAACTGTGCGTGTGGTTGCTGTTTCCCATCCACCCCCACTCCGCTATATAAGTGTCAGCAAGGGAGGTCAGATCACTGTCTGGAACAGCGGCCTACACATCCTCAAAACTGTTGGAGTGAGTGACATCATGGTCCTACTTTTACATCCACATGGAAACACAATACACTCACACATTCTGTTTTAAATTCACTCCTCAGCTTACTGGAGACCCAACGGAGGAAGTGGCCAACACGAGGAGGTTCAGAGGCTGGACCACTGATGCGGTTTATATGGGCAATGTCCATAAGGTCGCCATAGCAACTGACAGCAGGGACCTGCACTTTCTCGATGTCTCAACAGCCAATGTCTTTGAGGATGTCCACCTGTTTGGTACACTTGATTGCTTACATGTTATAATTAGCTGATCACTAATGAAATGATTTGCTGTGCAAAAAGGTGAACTTTCAAATCTTTGTCTCATCAAGGGTTCCGAAGCGTCCCCACTGCTCTTTGTTACTGGCATGATGTCCAGGTAGGACAACTTATTCTTTAAGATGTTGGATGAATTCACTCTAGAATCAGATAAGATAGGATTAGTCCCACAATGGGGACATTTGCAATATTACAGCAGAAAGAGTCAAAAATAGGCATCAGTAAGTAATAATAAGTAACATGCAGTACTTAAGAAATACTAAAAATATAGAAAAAACGAATATATACAGTGTAAAAACAAATATGTACAATGAATGGATTGCACATAGCACAGACAGTTAAGAGAGTTAAACCAGAGTTAAAGTGCAGTCCATTAAGGGTGTGTGTAATTACTGGGAGCAGAGCTGGTTGTCTTACTGTTGCAGGAAAGAATCAAATATTTACATAAATGTGATTGTTCCTCCAAGTATCCAGAGCGTCCCTCTCTGCTGCTCCTGGGGGATGAGAAGGGAGGAGTCCACCTGATGTGGTTCCTGAACCCCTCTAAAGGTCTTTTTAACAATCCCTCCAAGAAACAGAACGGCCCACATAGGATCTTTTTTCCAGTAAGTTACCTCATTTCTCCATTTAATTACCGAGCCCAGTCTTTGGTTTATTTTTGTACCCAGCAGAAACAGAGGCAGGCAAACAGCTTTGATATGCACCTGTTAAATATAATTGAATTGGAACACTCACCCATCATTTGTTATCCATCTTGACAACAGGACCTAAGCGAACACAGCAAGATGGTTTCCCACCGTTACATCCCCAACATCCACCAGGTACCAATCAACAGGGTGATGTTTGAGCCCAGCACCAGTGACATCATGACGTCCTCTGAAAGTGACACCAGCTCTGTGGTCTTTCTGAATGTGACACTGAGGCGGGAGCCATACGTGTGGAAAATAAACCAGGTAACTGCCTGATGATGGATTGAGGGTTATTACCTCTGCCAAGTAGGTTATGTTTTTTTAAAAATCTGCATTAGTTTGTCTGTCTGGTAGCAGGATTACACAAAAACAAATGGAAACGTTATCAAGAAACTTGGTGGAAGAATGCAGCATGGGTCAGGAAACAACAAATAAAATGTCGGAGCATTGCTCGATAGGTTATTTTGGAAATCTTTAATAGAAGAACTCATGGAATTTGATATTTTGTGATATTTATGATAGTTAGCAATTTAGTGGAGATCCAAATAAAAATCTGTATAAAATGAATTTCAAATTGGTTTCATCAGGGAACTGTTGGTCCTTGGCGGTCTGTGCTCTCTGAGTGTCATTCTAGATAAGAGTTGTGTATTCTCTTTAACTAATAATGTACTTGAGTGAGTATATATTTTCATAATGTAGAAGTGTACTTGCAGACTGCAATTTGCAAGCTATCATGTAAAATAGCACAGATTAAATGACCTTTGTATTTGAACACAGCTCAAGATCATATGTCTACGTGTCGGTCACAGTCCTCTGATCGGGGTGACCCTGACAAAACTGGGTGGGTCGAGGTTTGAATAACTCATTCGGTGAATTACCCCTGGCCAGTTTTAATCTCAAAGAGCAAATATGAGTCAAGTTACTCATTTATATAGTTTCCTTCTACCCAGCATAGAGGCAGACAGTGTCACTGAATGTGGAGAATAGAAGTAATGCTGTTGCAAAAAACCTTATTAAAGTGGGTGGGCATGCTTCCTGTTATGCACAATGGCTTTTTTTTCCTTTTTTGAACGAGCACAATAATTTTACACTCCAATTAACTGCAGACATTTTAACAATGAAGACGCCTTTTATAACTCCTCAGTGCAAACTCATGAGACCGGATAACCAGTCAGTGTACATGTCTGTCTCTTGACTTATGTAGGTTTTTATGAAGGTCTTTGTGTCTAATTCTCAGGGCGCCAAATGCTTTGACTACAGTGCATCTCTGCAGTTGATGGTGACAGGAGGTTGTGGCCGAGCAGTCAGACTCTGGACTCGATTCGTCACCACGCGTCCTGTAGCCACACTGCTGGGACACTGTGCCACCATATTGGATGTGGCAATCTACCCACCTGTCGGGCAAATCTTCAGCTACTCCAGAGATGCTGTGAGTCATTAAAGATACACTGTGACAACAAAGCTTGTGTGTTCATCAGTCAATAGACATGTGATTGTGTTTCTTTTCTCAGGAGCTGAGGGTGTGGGACATTTCTACGCATCACTGTCTGAAAACACTCCGCCTGCAGTTCCCATGCCTGCAGCCGGGTCGAATCACAGAACATGGCAACTTCCCCTTCCTGTTTCTAAGCCCTCCTCTTCCGGTAGAGACTCTGCCTCATTTAGTCGTGGGATGCAAAGATTACCTGGCACGGCTGTATCTGGCCGAAACGAGAAGAGGAAGAGGTGGATGGCTGACAAGTGAACAGTGGGAATATGGACCAGAAATTAGTGTGGCCCTCTCCTGTGCCCTGTACAACCCCACCCTGGGACAGGTGGTGACGGGACATGCCGACTCGTCTGTGTCTCTTTGGGACATAGAGACGGGTCGGAGGCAGCTTCAGATCTTAAATGCACATGGTGAGGATGAACTCCTCTGCATGACACTAGACTCCACCCACAGAAGACTGATCACCGGGGCTCGCAATGGCACCATTAAGGTTTGAACCAACATCTTGTTACTATAATTTATTAAAAAATGTACAAGAAGTTGCTTGCACCTTTGAGAGGGTTAAAAAGAGAGATTGTTGATGAGTAATTTTTCTTCACAACCACTCCAAGTAGGTATGGAATTTACTAAACGGCCTCAACCTGCACAAGTTGGAGCCCGTCTCCAACTCTGAAGTCACTATGTTGACCTGTCTCCATGACAACAAGCTGCTGGCTGTGGGATGGAGCCAGCGGATCGTTCAGTATGACATTGGTGCAGCAAAGGTAAAATTTAAATTGATAATCCACAGCGTCACATAAATCAATATTATTTAATTGATGGTAATTTACAGACTGAAAATCATTTTTGGTGCAAAACATTAATGTCTGGTGGATCGTTGTATTCAGGGAAAATGGTCAGCTGAACATTCCACTAAACTTAGTGGAAGGACGGGACATAGGCCAAGAAAGAATTTGGATTGGACCAAGGTGCAGATCCAGTATTTTTTCTTTTTAAAGATAGGATTTTGGACATTTTCTCCAATTTTCCAAGAATAATCTTAATCAGGTGGATTCAGAGTACTGAGTGTCACTTTTGTTTGTCTTGCATCTGTCAGTTATGACCGTATGTTTGGAAATACAGAAGAATAATAGATTAATTTATGTGACCATCAAAACAGATCATCTTAAAAAACAGAATCTCAGCATTAAATACAATAATCAAGGCTTTTGACTGGCAGGTGATAAATGCGTGTATATAAGATGTAAAGTAAAAACAAAAATTGTCAACCAATCAGTACCTTAGGTTTTAGTCTTTTGCTCTACCACAACTTCTTCCCCACATGTTGAATGCTGGATGATGCTGGTCACACAAGCTGTCATCACGGTAATCTGTCCGATGTTAAATATTTCCTACAGCAGCACAAAATATATCCAATTAAATCCAGTAAATGCTTTGTAACAGTATGATATCTTAAAATCGGTATTGCAAGTAAAACTGTGATTACCTTTTAAAGGGAATGGATACATACTCTCATCCAACTACATATTTGTTCACAGGTCATAAGAAATACAGATGAAGTGTTGCCAGTGCCAGTATAAACTCAGACTGAGCTGCAATGTGAGAGAAAGTCTGGGTGTGCACACCTCAAAATTCCTGTGCAACACTTAGCCTCTCATCCTTTAACTACCATCTGCTCTGTGGTTAAATTCATCCCTTAAAGAACACAGCATTAATGCTTCTCCAGCAAATTCCTGAATCTTTTTTCTCCTAGTTACAATGTTCCTCATTGTAAAGCCCCCTGTGTCAGCAGAGTCAGGTTTCTGAAAAAAAAAAGGTCCAAAAACACTGGTGGGGAATGATTTGATAGTAGTGAATTATGCTCACATTTACACATCCACCTGGTGAGATCAGAGACGCCTGTGCTGCAGAAGACATCTGCACGAGTATCTGTATGACTTCCACCATGCTGAGTCTGTGTTTAAGGGCCGACCACAATGTTGTAGCAGAGGTGTAAACAAAATCAGTAAACCAGAGAAGGAAATGGAGCTGCTTTCCATCAGGCAACACAAACATTTACATGTTATTTTAGACCACTTGTCACACAGTGGGAAGTGATTACCAGAGTAAGAGTTTTACAGTTAAAAATAGCAAGGCCCATGCACACTGCAGAGGTTGCACTGTTTTTGTGGAAAACCTTTCCCATGGTAACAGTAAACTGGGGATATTCAGTTTTAAAACCATATTAACTGTTTCTGCAGGATTTGTATGTGAGAGCAGACATGTCATGGAAGTCCGGCGGTGTCCATAAATCGGATATACTGGCTGTGTGTCAGTGTCCGGCTCTGGGGGTTGTCGCCACAGCGAGCCATGATGGGGAGGTCGTCATCTGGAGGCTGGAGACACAAGGGCCCCTGCTTCACTTACAGAGAGAGGGACAGGCAGGGTGAGGGGATACAACCATGCATTTGTGTGATATGCTGAAAGTTAAATACTGATGTTGTCAATGTAAACTCATGACAATCATCAAAAGTGATGAGACAATCATAAATTAAACAGATGAAAGATTTGATAAACTGACATTTAGCTGCAGGGGCGGATCCAGAAGAAGGGGGGCACTAGTCCCATCTTAAATCTGATTGGCCCCTGAAGTGTCCCTTTCCTGTCAGTAGTCTTTAAATTAAAAATAAGAAAAATAGTCACTTACTAATAATACAATTTGTTGTATTTGTTTTATTTTCTAAGCTTTCGCTTAAGAACAACAATTTTCAAGATATATTCAATTTTGTATGGCTCAAATCTATAGAGCTAACAGTATACAAGTAATTACTTAAACGTGCACCTTGCTGATTCAGGTATTGGACATATAATTGGCCCGTGTGTTAATTGTGACCCCTTTATGGCCCCTGATTTAGAACAATCCTAGATCTGCCACTGGATAGCCGGTAGTGTGTTCATATTGGTGCGTGTAATTCTATCCAACATTTACAAAGCGAGATTAATAACCACCTAAAAAAATGCACATGTCGGTATTTGGCAATGGCAATTCTTACGCTAATATGATGGTCATCAGATTTTTGTGCATCCTTAATGGGAGCAAACATAAACATTGTTTTTGTGTGCATTGTTTTTGTGCGTGATTTCAGAGTGGTGCCCCCCGTGGACAGCCTCCTGTTCTTGCAGCATCGAGCTGCGAACAGAAAGCTGAGGAACAGAGGCATCCTGGTGTCGTCCCAGGCTGGCTGCCTCTGCTTCTGGAGTGTCACTGGAGAGACACACACTTATGGTGAGTGAGACGCTGAAGGAAAAGTTGCAGGTGGAACCGATGAGGTGTTTTTCAGGAAAACTGGATATAAAACTGAAATGCATAAATTCAAAGTAAATCTCTAAGAATCTGAGGAGGTGGAAACACTAATGCAGTTGACAAGCAGCTGTCAGTTTTAATGATCCTCCCATGAGATGGATTCACACACAGCCAGACCAGTGACAGTTAGACTCAACCGTCGACTTGGACATAGTTGTGGGCTGCCATTCCTGGAAGCCCACAACTATGTCTCTTTCCAGATCCCATCTGTGTTTAGTGGTGTGGGACTCATCCACTGTGACCACGGCATATGTGTATCAGCGTGCACAGATGCATGTGTGTGTGTGAGTTGTGCAGCGTGCATCTGTCTGTATTTGTGTTGATGCATTTTTCTAGCAGGGAGGAATTGGGGATTGTGACATAACAGGGAGATTTGTGACATAACAGAAAACATTTAAAAAGTAGCAATTTGTCTCAAAAGCACTTTTGTCATTTGAGTCAAAATTGTTTTCTTGAAATTGGCAAGAGGTCGGAATATAAATAGATTTGCTTGAATGGAGTGAACCAAGTGTACTCCCTGTGGAACCTCTACTGCTTATAAGAAAAACCACAGGAAACATTTGCTAAAATAAAAATTTTACTAGACCATTTAATTTTTCAAAACTGCCTTTTTCAAATTCTGATGTCTCTCCTTATCCCAGGTGAGTTTTATGCTCCGGAGCAGCCAGGTGCACGTGTGCTGAGTCTGTGCTCAGATCAGCCTGAAAACACCATCCTGGTCTCTGGAGACACAACAGGCTGGCTTCAGATCTGGGGTATTTCTCACTATGCACTGGAAGTCCAGCACGAGGTGAACTGGTGTGAAATCAAGACAACTAAAAGGACTTTGTAAACTACGCACACATTTACTTTATGTATTTTCTTTCCTCACAGTCAGTTAAAGAACGGCCTACGCTGCTGCAGCGTTGGAAGGCACATGAGAGAGGAGTAGTAAGTGTGGAAGTCCTGAAAGTGGCCGACCGACTGTTCGTCCTCACGGCCTCAGCTGACGGCTCTGCTGGACTGTGGACGAGAGACGGAGACCAGGTGGGATCTTTTGGACAGGAGGTGATGTGGAATATCTCTGATGCAGCTGCGTACCAGAGGTGAGTTTATGAGCATATCTCAAGTAACAGGAAGAATGAAAAGTATTTGGAGCGAGCTTGGGATCAGCAGCACACGGGTACTGTACATCCATGAGCAAGTTATATTTAAATGTATGAAACTGAATCACAACAGAAAGGAAATAAAAACCAAAGCTGAGCAAAAAATGTATTTCCTTTCTCAGCTGAGCTCTGAGGGTTCACAGATCTACTGCGTGTTCTTCATTGGCTCACTAACTCTCCCATAGTTCACATGCTGTGAAGCAAATTCATTCCAAAATATGAGGAGGAAGTGTGTAAACATGGCACTTTTTTGGGATGAGATCATTCACTTCTGCCAACACATAGTAAAATGTACCTGGCATATCCATCTTGCCAGTATCTGATACAGGACCTGTCCAAGAATGTAATGTTGTCCAGGAGGGAGCACTAAATTATATTTATCAAATCTAATTCAGAGAATGTTGTGCGGAGGAATACATCAGGACGCTCGCTCGTTGTTTCCACAGCTGTTTGAGTCTTTTATAGAATTTAGAGTCTGGTTAAAGGTCATAAACTCTGGCTTGGCGGGAGCCTTTGCTGTATTTCTCTTTCACATTTGAGGTAACTCGGACCAGACAGGAGAGAACAGTCTGAAGTAATCCTGTTTTAAAGGGACAATGAAGCACAGTCGAACTGACAGAAAGTCAAAAAAATATACATATGAGGCTCACTGAGGAGCATAACCATTACATCCTTTAATACTATGTTTAAACTCTTGTGAAGACGTGCTGCAGATGGTTTCTCGTGGTCGCTAAATGAAGGCGTACCACGTAAATGATTGTACTGAATTCTAAATGATTGGTTCTAGTGATTTAATGCATGCGTGTGTTTAAAAGAGTTAGAGAGAAAAGTTAGTGGTCAACTGCTCTTCTCGTCCCATCTGTCTTTGTGGCCTCTGATTGGTCAACCACCTATCAGTCGATATATTAACCAGTTTGAAACCAGGACATAGTTTATTTACCTTCACATGGTTACAAATACATGGATGGATATTTTATGTTGATTTGAAATTGAGAAATATCTGTTTGTTTCTCTCTGTGTTCATCTCCCTGGTGGGGATGTTGCATATTTCGGCGCACCAATCAAGTTTTAGTAACACTTCAATCAAAAGCTGACATTTGATCTGATGGTAGTGGAGATATGACCTTTTAATCTTATATAAGAAAAAACTGAATATCCCAAATTTGCATCGACAATTTCCATTTACACATCACTCAAGATAATGTCCCTGACATTTGTTTAAACCTGTACTCACCGTGGTAATATTAGAAATCTGGTGCCATGTCAGCAGCTCAACATTAGATCTGAAGGAGAGAATAAAGTGGATTATTCAGACAAACATACTCTTTGTAAACATGAGTTTACAACAGTTGTTATCAGTTGAACCAGGATTTTAATTTGACTTTTGCATTGGTTTTAATTGAAGTTATACACTTCTTATGTGTCATGCCTCATCAGACTACATTATCTCAGCCACTATGTCAATATTAACTTAATGAGAGTAAAGTGAGGACTCAAATGCGACGTCACAGGAGGACCGATTAAATCTCTTTAAAAGTCTTTAATCAGACTTACAGGTTGGTTGCAGAGATGGAAGGAAATCAGGAGAGCTGTGGTATCCAACACTCTCAAGCTGAACACACATACAAGAAACTAAGCTTGGTAAAAGACTCAAACATTATAAACTGGAGGAGTAAAAACTGGGACAACACAGAGGAACTGACTAAGACAAAGGAAAACCCAGAAGATGATCTCCACCAGGTTAACATGATACAGGTGAAACTAATGAACCAGACAAAGATAGGAAGTGAAGTGCTTTCAAATGGGAAACAAGGGTCAATAACAAAATAAAACAGGAAGTGATGAAAAAAAAGTGCAAGAAATTAAAACAGGTGAATGAAAACAACAAGACCCAAGGAAGATAACAAGGCTAAAGTCAACATAAACACAAAAAGTCCAACAAAAGATCCATAAAGAAATAAGACAAAAGTCATTGAAAAGTTAAAAACACTTATAATTATGACAAAACTAAGATCTTATCCTTTTGAGCTGTTCCCACAAACCTCCATCGATCCAGAAATTCCTCTGTGGGACTTTATTAACTTGTATATCCATAAAGTTGAGCTCTCACATATGTTTAAATTATAAAAGTCACATTTAATTTACCAATAAATGAGTCCTCATATACACACATGAACATGCACGCACGCACACACACACACACACATAACACACAGGAGCATGCATATTACTGAAGTTAAGGCTCACTGCGCCACAGAAATAGAGAACAGCTAGACTTCTGGTTTGAATCAAATCTAACAACAAACATTCTCACAGATATCTCTGACAAAATATTATCCAACACAGTCACTGATCTGAGTCCTGTCCGCTTTAAGGACCTTGACGTGAGCCCAGCTGGGAAAACTCTATCTAAAATAAACAGCTGTGTGTTTGCACAAGTGAATACCCTTCAGCGACTGGTGACATCTTTTGGCTCTGACACCCGCAGGGAGATGCAGAATAACCTGAGGGAAGATATGGAAGAGGAGGGGAGGACTGAAAGTGATGGGGTGGGAGCCAGCAAGGTCAAACCTCAACAAACTTCACAGGAAGAAGGTAAATATTGCCAACGCGTATTTTAAGGAGATATGTACGGCAGCTAAGACGTCTCACACAAGCACATTAACTGGAAAGACGAATGCAAATATCGTAACATGAATGCAGTAAGAGATTTCTTGGTCACCATCCATTGTCACCGACTTCCGTTGTTCCATAGTTGTGGCTTTGGTAGTTATGTTGTGGCTTGTGCATTCATGTCGTGGCTTTTGCATTCGTGGTGTAGCTTGTGCAATCACGTTTTCCGTTAATTTACTTGTGTGAGACATCGCAGCCATTGTAAATATCCATAAAGGTATTTACACGTCCAGGTCAGAATGGTCTTCCAGGGTAATCAAACTCCATACTTAGATTCAATCATGTCCAATTTCACCACATCATGAAGAGAAAAGTCAGAGCATTCCTCAGATTCTCCTCCTCTGAAGTCTAGAGCTCAGTTTGAGAACATTTGGGCGATGTTCAGCTGCAGACAGACAGACAGGCCAGACTGTTGTGCACGAAGGCTGAAGGTTTGTGTGTTGCTGTGTGTACCTGTTCCCATACTTCCCTCTCACTGTCTCCCTCATTACTCAGTATAATTAACTGTGCTTTCTCTGCAACCACACCCAGCAGACATGCACATTAACTCCCATAATGTTGTCTTTTGTCACTTCAGCTTCATGCACCAGCCCAGCAGAGAACGACCATGAGCAGCCTCAGCAACCCATGGTAAACTGCAAACACACAATCAGCTGCTGATTAAATACTGTTCACATTCCTAGGTTCACACACATTTGTCATTCTCATCTAACTTGTCTTCTTTCCATTCATCCATCCAACCATCATTTGTGCGTCTGTGTGTCAGTATGTGTTTGGGGACTTTTGCCAGACAGTTGCTTCTTCTCATAGGAGGGGACGCCTCTTTGATGACACTGATCACAGCAATCACTGTTGATCTGCTGATATCGCCTCATTAGCTCCTGCAGGTGAGTGTCATCCTGTTTACTGATTTGTTTCCTTTCATTTTTTCCCCTTCTCCTGCATCGATGAATCTCTGATGTTCATTCATGCAGCTATACACAACGTTTCTCTATCACACACTAGTCTCAAACTGTTTGAAAGTCAGGGGCAACTTTAAGGCTCAGAATCTTGCCCAAGGATCCTTCGGAATGCAGACTGGGGGGTGTTGGGAATTGAACCTCTGAACTTCTATGTCCCTCTGTGGATGACCCCTTTGAAAAGACCATTACAAATAATAAATGCAGTCCATTTACTTCTCAAAATATTGAATCAATCTTCTGAATCTTCCCTCTGTGCAAAGGAATGATCAAACTTGATATTGAAGAAGGAGCTTGCTATATTGTTCAATAATAAAGAATTTTGTGACATGAAGCAACGGGAAGTTTTGAAAGAGGATGTGACACATTCTTCCTGTTCCAAAATATAACTTCAACTCCTTAACTGAACTCAGTGCACTTTGGGGTTTGCTAATGTTCCAGGTAGATCGCTGTGTGACAGATGTTAGCAGGTCAGTTTGCTGACTTTAAGACTTTTTTGCAACTTGCGCTGCTATGAAGCCACATTTTAGCATTGGCATTTGAACATATCATTATCTCTAATGTGACGTGGCTGCAGTTCAGTTACAATGCCACACTTTGACTCTGAATGCTCTGCTGCAATGACTCATATCCCTAAGTAATCGATAAACTAATTATTCCTTCAGCTCTGCACCAACAAGTCAGTTTGTCTTATTAGTGTGCTCTACCTGGTACAATACTATTTTCAAAGTATGAATAGAAACCCCTATAAAGCGGGGGGGGTTGTATTGTTGGTGGCCACTGAGGTTTGCAGACATCCATACGAGGCACATGTGGCTATAAAACGCTCAATCGATTCCACAGTTCACGCTTCTTTTCATCCTGCCGGTGCAGTGACTGCACCGCTCCATGTTCAGGCTGTAGTTCTCCAAAAACATGTGATTGATGGGAAGGGATAATGAAAGGGGGATTAAAGAAGGAATAGAAGAGTAGTGCCATTCTATTTTAAATACATCTGATGGGAACAGAATGATTACTTTCATTTGAGGATATGAATGCACCCACATCCTCCTTTTCCTTTTTTGTCTTAAACGCTGTAACTACTGAATCTGTTCATGGTCGCTCCATCTTTTTCTCCCAACTGTGGCCTTGTCCCTTTAAACTGTGTTTTGCTGCCACACAGTGCATTTGTGGCCCAGACATTGGAAGACATTTCCTGTAGCTGTCGATGTGGACTGACCGCTGAGAGGTCATTAATCAAATGATCCATCTCATGACTTGACTTGACATGTTTTCAGTGGGAGGGATATCAGAAAAGCCTTGTGTCACTGCTTTGTAAACCTTACTACATGTTACAAGTGAAAATTGTGAAAGTAAAACAATTTCTGTCGTTTTTTTTACATTTACTCTTTTCCAGGAGATGCCTCCACTGTGGATTTACCCATAATCCCCCAAGTGTGGTATGGTACTGGCAAGAGGAAGCTCAGCTTACAACATTTGGAGGGAACTGTGAGCCCTCCATACCCGTCCAGCCAGATAAAGAGATGGAGGAAATACAGACACAAATTCTAGTTTTATGTCTCTGTGCAGGCAACAGCCAACTGGCCAAAGGCATTATGTTTTCCGTCCATTCGTCCTTCGCATTTTTCTGAAAACAATAACTCAAGATCGCTTCAATGGAATTTCTTCAATTTTTGTAAAAAACATTCAGTTGGACTCAAGGATGGACTGGTTAGAATTTGTTCACAGTGACTTAACAAACCATGTTTCATGTCATGTGAACACAACATCTCAGTCACACCTTGAGGAAAATTCTTCAAACACATTATATTTCATCTGTAAAAGGTCAAAGGTCACAGTGACCTTGTGTGAGTCTCACAAAAATGCATGTAAAATTGAAGTTGCCTTTAAATTGTAAATCAAATATGTTGCATGAATATTGTTCCTTCTGGACTTTTCTCTTTCAGGTATATGTTGCCCTGTTTTTTCTACAATGCATCAAATGTATATTGAAAACCTTAGTTTTCTCTCGTCTTCAGTTACATGATCCTCTTGTATTTGTGCAACAGAGGCTTCTCTTCCTGTATGTTGCAGTTATTTTATCAGTAGTGAATTTTCCGAATATTTGAGATTTCTCAGACAGACATCTGAGTCTAAATTTAGCATCGCACCTCTGCTGAACTGTACATATTTGTGACACAAGTCTCTGTGACCTATTTTTGTTTGTTTTCTTTCCATATTTGATTGCAAAAACCTTGCATGCGCTCACCCGCTCGTCCTTAAAAACTGGGGTTATTTTGAGCCTCTGGTCTGGATGTTTAAGTGAGGCAGGAAGCGAGCACAGAGCCTGTCCTCGTGTTTGTGTCTGAAGGGATAAATACAGACACAGCCGGGACAAACAGGGTAAGTCATCGACATCGTCTGCACTTAGGTCCCCTCTGGCATCTGTGAGATAACACAGTGTTACTGAATCCCATCAAATAAGTTTAATATCTGTCTGCTGATGACTTTGATTTGAAGTAATAGTAACTGTCAATCAAGGAATTGAATGTATGTCTCCTTTTTTGTGCCATGCAATAAAAACTAAATGATATACCCTTACATTTTTGTTTGTTGGCCCTGGGGCTATAGCAGGACATTTATCTTAAAAAAACTATAGTTTCCAAAGACCATATGCAACAACAGAAACTTTAACAAAGCTCATTCCGTTAAAAAAATGTAGCCTCTGTGTAAAAGCAGATTTTCATTTGAGCATTTGTTTTTAAAGAACAACTTCTCTTGTTATTGTTGCTGGGGTCGAGCAGTCGAGCAGGGAAGAAGTCACCCACTCAGTGTGTGTTTGTGTGTGTATGCGTGAGTGTGTGTGTATCCTTTCACTAATTTCGACCATCGGCCAAGGTTTCTCTCGGCCTGTTTTTTCTTCAGAGAGGACAAAACACCCTGGAGAGCACCTCCCAGACACACACATAAGACTTTCTCTCTCACACACACACACACACACACACATACACCCATACAGACGACAGATGTTCCAAAATACCACAGTAACAACAGTGCAGATGCAGGCTGGGAAATGCCCTGCAATATCCTTGTTGCCTTACTATAGAGTTGCTCAGGGCTTTCAGAGCAGACACGGGGCAACAAGCAGCGTAATTTATACACTTCACAGGAATCAAAGAGAGGAGGGGGAGTAAAGACAAGGTTGCCTGATGTGAATGAAGGGAGGTGTTGATTTTTCCTTTTCCTGCATTTCTAAGTGCTGCAAGAACTTGTGTTTTCATTTTCCAGCAACTCTGAACTCTCGGTGTCGCTCTGCAGCTCAGCAGAAAAGTGAGGGATTCACGTGTGGGAACTGCAGCAGGAAGGAAAGTGCAGCTGGGAATTTTTGCCTGGAGGGAGAGAGACTGGAGGTCTGTGGCAAAAAAAAAAAAAAAAAAAGACAAGGTGGAGAAAGGAAAAGAGAATAGGAGGGAGCGAGGCAGGTAAGATGATGGAGGAGCAGAGGAAATTTGAAGCAGGGATGAGAGGAGGAGGAGGAGAGGGGATTTGATGAGATGAAGGAGTGAAAGTTGATTTTACTTGATATGGGACAGCAGGGGGAGACGAGACGATGACAGGAGGGGAGGGAATCTTGCCTCTGTGCATTCTTGAACATGCATGCTCACAACTGGCCTGCCACAAATCAGTGAGGAAGTTTGCTGGGCATGGACACCTACAGCTGCACACACACACACACACACACACACACACACACACACAAACACAAACACAAACACAAACACACACACACACACACTTTGCATCAGAGTGGAGACATCAGCTGGATGTGGTTTCATTGAGATCCGTGATAAGAAAAAGTCTCCACCCCTTACTGTTACTAGGAAGAGAAAGAGAGAGAGAGAGAGAGGGACAGAGAGAGGGGGGGTCTGCATCCTCGCTGCGCACACTCAGTTTGAAAACCTGTCATTTTAAGTTTGTGTACATACCTGCGCCGACACACGATCAACACACACACATGCGCACACACACTCCCCCCTTAGTGTCTCTCACATGCACACACACTCCCCCTTCACTCTCTCTCTCTTATATACACACGCTCCCTCGCCCTCTTGTACTCGGAGCACCAGGTCCCTGGAAGCAGCCGAACTGTCAGTGACTGTTGCAAACACATGCTCGCTCTCGGCTCGGCTCTTTCCTCTTCTGCTGCTGCCAAGGGAGGAGGAGGAGGAGGAGGAGGAGAAGTGAGTCTGGAAGGAGCAGACTAAAACACAGACAGAAAAGAGAAAGAGAGAGAGACTGGGACCAACCTCTGGCTGCCTCCCTCTCGCCTCTGCCTCTCTGTCTGTGTGGGAGACTGCGAGTGATGCCTCTCACTCTCTGCAGCTGCACACACTCAGGACTTTCTCTAGGTTTCTCTCCTGCTTTTTTCTCCACAGTCCTCCTCCCTCTGTTTCAATGATGAGGAGAGACCGTCTCCTCTTGGCCGCGACCCTCACAGCCATCCTCTCCGCCGACCTTTACTTCATTCTCCTGCCAAAGCTGCGGAGCGTGGGATCCAGGCACTTCTGCTCATGTGGTCCCGACAACCTCAGCCTGCCGGTGCAGGGGGGCCTCGCCACCCCGCAGCTCTACAACTGGACTTCCTCGTCAGCCCTGGCCCCTACCACGGCTGGCCCCAAGGGTGGAGGCTCGAAGATGGAGAGGCTGTTTGCTCACCCACTGTATAACATCCAGACTCCGGTGCTGGGGCCAGAGGAGAGGCTGCTGCAGGCCGAGCTGCTGATGGAGTACTACAGGAGGAAGGTGTCACGCTGGGAAAGGTCAGTTTTTTTCGACTCTGGAGAAGAACCACACGGAGACACTGTTGATTTCAGTGCAGACTGTGATTGATTTTGCAATGTCTGATTTTAGCATCTTTAAATTTGACTTTTATCACTGTTGCATTACTTTATTTTGAAAGAAGAAATCTGAAAAATCCCCTCTCTGAAATCACATGCTGGGGCTTGACTGTGGTCAAGAGCCAGGGTCAGTGACATGACGGCCAAACACACACACTCACACACACACACATCCATGCACATAAACACACTGTGTCCATGATAACAGATGTTTACCCGCAGACAGGCCTCAGGGTGTGTAGTTCTGAGTCATAAAAAGTCCAGTGTGGGGCTGGTGGCAGAGAAAACCCTCACAAACATGTTACTCTGTGTGTGTGTGTGTGTGTGTGTGTGTGTGTGTGTGCACACTGCTCTCTTTAAGGTAAACAAGGATTTAAAACTGCTTAAGCTTATCTTAATCTGTGGGAGCCGGAGCTGTCTTGGCTTGTGAGGCTGTCTATCTATCCAGTCGCTCACTCCGAGAGACAAAGATTTTGGGCTCTTATAGTGGAAACTAAGAAGAAATACGAGCATAGGATGGATCTCCTCTCCCTGCTGCTGCTGCATAAAACAACAAATAGCCCAAAGGCTCATTTAAGACTTGCAATATCATGCAATATCCTCTCAACTGCAGCAAACACACCTAGTGCGAGCTTAATGACGGGAGCTTTCAGGTGAAGCCAGTTTGATTTTCATTCTGGAAGAGGAAACAGTCTAGTAATTAATTTCCTGGTCAACCTGTGAACATATGTGTGTGTGTGTCCCTCTTAGCAAACACTGCATGTTATTGACACTTGCACGGTCTCCATGTTATTAATATTATGTTTAGCTCTGACCTGATATGATGAGTCGGAAGGATGACCAATGCACAAACTCCTATTCATAACCCTTTTTGCTCCATTATCGCAGTTAAATTATACCGTGGTGGGAGTTTGTTTGGGTTGGCTGATGACCGTCCCACTCAGCGCGGTCAGCTAGTCTGGTGATGTGGTGCCGCTCGTACCACAGACTAATTTGTGTTGCACTCAGATTATTCTTGCTCCAACTTTAAGTATAGCAAAGAGGAGAGGAGAGGAGAGGAGAGGAGAGGAGAGGAGAGGAGAGGAGAGGAGAGGAAGAGGAGGCCATGGACAAACTTATGTCACAGCTGCTTGTAGGAACAATAGAGAGCCTTTTTTTATTGCTTTTATTTCTTTTTTTTATCTGTGTGAATGCATTTTTGCAATCGCCACTGCAGTTTCCCATTTCTGCTTTGTCTTAAGTGCAATACAACTTAAACTTATACATATATTATTAGTAGTATTATTATTAGTTGTAGTAGTAAGAATAGAAGTATAAGATAACTAATAGTTGTCTATATGTGAGAGAAAACTTGGCCAACAGGGAGAATCGGTCAAACAGAACATGTTATAAAACAGGGCGTATGTAATGAATTACGTAAATGTCTGTATCATCACATACTTCCTCATATCCTCTTTGTTTTAAAACATTCTTGCAAAATCTACTGCTCTGAAAACCTGTTGAACGCACTCTGCCCTCTTTGGTCTTTCCAAAATAAAACACTGCCCATAAAACTGTCTGTGTTGTGTAAAGTATACGGAGGACGGTGGTTTGGCCTTGGTTACTGTACGCTTTGTTCGACATGTCGCTCTGCATGTAGGCACATGAAACTCTACAGCGAGGCGGCGGCTCTCTCCAACACAACTCTGACTCAACATAAAGTGACCTTTGACCCTGACGCCAGCTGGCTGAAGTTCCACCTGGGGATCAGCCGCTACGCCCTGTATTCCCGCGATGACCTGGCCGTCCCACAACTGCTCAAGGACATGGGAAGCATGCCAATTGTCAACGCAGGTCAGGGATGGATGAGATTAACAACACCTGTATGTTTGTAAAAAATGATTAACATCGGTTTTGACTAAAACAGACGTTACTCTCTCTGTTTCTGTTTCTCTATTTTTCACCATCTTACATGTGTGACACATTCTGCAGGTTTAGCTCCTTTTTTAGAGGCTGATAGAGATGCTACTAACAATGAACCCATCCAAGTCAGAGGTGGTTGATTGTTGATTATTGATTATTACTTACGTCTTGCAGATTACACCCAAGATGAGAAGGCCCTGAAAGGAAACTGCGATTGTACCCAAGGTATGTTCAAGTCAAGTCAGACTTTTATATTGTAAGACTTGATGTTCTTTATCTCATGTCCTCATGTTGCGTAGCCCTATATTTTGTGTATGGCGTGTTCGATTCCTGACTGGCTCCTTTGTTCGGCCTTTATTATGTTTTGCTCCTCTTCTCTGCTGTGCTTGGCGGCACCGTGACACACAAACACACTGCTGCCTTTGTGATAGTGAGGATTTTGGTTTTCATTTGGCACCAAAAGTCAGATTTGTATAAGACACATGCTCCGGGCAAAGGAAAAAAAAGGAAAACAAAACAAGCTTTCATTTATGTTCAAAAGCAGTCTTAATTAAATGTTGAAAGCTTGCACGTTCAGAGTGAAGCCTGTATTCAGGCTTCAACCTACAAACCAACCACCACCTACGCTGTCATCTTTTGTTTTCGGTCATCTTTTCTATGACCTCTCTCCTCCTTCCCCCTGCACTCACAGGCACTTACAGGTTGTCACTGTAAATGAGAAAAGGTTCTGAATGACTTGCCTGGTAAAGTAAAAAAAAGATCTCCGTCTGAGCTTCTGAACATGAGGATGCAAACCAAAAT